TAGTAATTTTTTGTGTAGTAGTTGTACATCACATAAGCATTGTAGATAGCCATTTGCACAAAATAGATGGTCATTTTCTTCGTCCATTTGTGAGTTTTCCTTATGAAGTGATAATATTTGATCATTTGGTCAAAGTGATCAACACCTTTCATGTTTGTATTGTAGTCACAGATTGCATTCGGCTTGTTGACAGTTACCAAACAGTCCCAAAAAAATTGGATAAAAACCTGATTTTTGGCAATTATTTTAGTGGATGACGCAATGCTGCGTCATCCCCGAGATTACCGACAGTAAACGGATGACACAATGCTGCGTCATGCCCGGACTAAAGTGTTAAAATATATTGTGTAACTTAATGACTTAAAAATCTTTCTACAAGATGAAGTATAACATATTGCATCACTGAAAACTTTTCCTTTAAAAAAGTATTAGGTTAATAGTACTGATACCTGTACAGTACTTCAGTTATCAACTTTTCAACTAAACACAATAACAATTGTCATATTATTTTCAAGTACTGTATAATGCAAACATAATTCTCAGATCTTCTTGGAACATGTTTTGCACAATTTATAATTAATTTGCATAATTTTAAGGTCTACAATGCAAAGTCAAACTACAAGCAATAAATCTGTCCATATATTTTTTTCATTGTAGAGCAATGATAAGCGGAAAAAAATACCTTACATGATCAAGGTTCAGACTACATTGAAATTTAGTTCCAGTTGGTGTAAATCACAACTGCTGTGAACATAGCGCAGAACAAATAGTTCCATTTGCTGTATATCACGACTGCTGTGAATAGACGCAGTAACAAATAGTTCCAGTTGCTGTAAATCACGACTGCTGTGAATATAGACGCAGTAACGAATAGTTCCAGTTGCTGTAAATCACGACTACTGTGAATATAGACGCAGTAACGAATAGTTCCACTTGCTGTAAATAATGACTGCTGGGAATATAGTAATAGTAGGCAGTCATTATTTGCCTACTTATTTGTTATTAACTATTTGCTTCGTTGAAAATAGGTACAGTATATGAATCCAAAATTAACTATATAGTATACATTGTTACTGGAGAAAGGAGTCGTACTATTTTACACTCTGCTCTTTAACAAATCAGCAATATCATATAGAACTGACTAGTGAGCAATGTGTTTTTAGCTAAGAGGCTACAGAAACAGCACAGTTCAAAACCTATTACCGTATGTAAATAGTTCAGTGACTCGGAGACACTAGAAAAAATAGTTAAAACCAAATGGGTAGAACACCTGGAGAGTAATGACATAATAAGAGTATGGTTTTCAAACAGGAAGATCCTATATAACAAATCTATTTAGATTTTATGATAGAGCCACTGAGATACTACAGGAAAGAGATGGTTGGGTTGACTGTATCTGGACCCCCCCCCCCCCAAAAAAAAGACTTAACAGTCCCACACAAGAGGTTGTTCTGGAAACTGGAATATGCTAGAAGGGTCAAAGGAAGACTGTTGACATGAATGACAAATTATCTAACTGACCAGCAGATGAGGGCAGCAATTAAAGGCACTGTCTGACTGGAAGAGTGTTACTAGTTTAGTACTACTGGGTTCAGTTCTTGCACCAGTAATGTTCATCGTCTACATAAATGATCAACCAGAATGAATAAAGAATTATATGAATATGTGTGCTGATGATAAGCTACTAGGGAAGATAGGAAACCTAGATGATTGCGATGGCCTTCAAATTAACCTAGATCAAGTAAGTGCTTGGGGCACAATGTAGCAAATGAAATTCAATGCGAATAAATGTCAAATTATGAAAGTGGAATATGAGAAAATAGACCACATTCAACCTACAAATTATAAGGAAAGGACTTAAACAATTCTTACAAAGAAAGAGATCTAAGTGTGGTTCTCGATGGGTTGCCACCAGAGGAACATGTAAAGGACATTGTGCGTGAGCACATACCTGCACTTTCCAACTTCAGAATCACTTAATCACATGGATGGTGAAATACTAAAGAAACTGTTCATGACTTTTTTAGCATCAAAATTGTATTATTCAGCAGGTGTATGGGGCCCATATCTCCAGAAGCACATCAGTAAACTGGAAAAGGTGCAAAGGCATGCTACAAAAATGACTTCCTGAATGTTAAAACAAGAGCTATGAAGGGGGGCTAGAGACGTTAAATATGCCAAAACTAGAAAATAGAAAATAAAGAAACGATATGATCACCACTTACAAAATAATAACAGGAATCGACCAAATTGACAAAGGAATTCCTGAAAGCGGCAACCTCAAAAAACAAGAGGTCATAAGTTCAAGCTAAGGAAACAACGGTGCCAAAAATCGAAAAGTAGAGATGAAGTGGTTCAGCAGTCTGACGACATACTACTGTACTTTAAGAGCATAAATAAAGGAAATAAACCAGTAAACAAATTAATAAATATATAATAAAATCAAGTGATTACAGTGAACTGAGTTAAGAGCAACACAATGTTCAGTGAAGTGAATTTAGAATGTGCTAGAGAGCATGAAATTTTATGGTCTGATATGGCAATAGATGCAAGAGTATTTTGGTAGTAAAGAGGACATTAACTTGGATACTCATTTGGTTTATACAGTACTGAAATATGAATATCAAATAACTTCAGTTAAAACAGTGTATTCAGCTGTATTTATAGCACAATGGCTTCTTGTGCAAAGGTTATACTGTTATGCCCATGTCTGGCATAGCACAATTGCTTCTTTATGCACAGGTTATACTGTCATGCCCATGTCTGGCATAGCACAATTGCTTCTTTATGCACAGGTTATACTGTCATGCCCATGTCTGGCATAGCACAATTGCTTCTTTATGCATAGGTTATACTGTCATGCCCATGTCTGGCATAGCACAATTGCTTCTTTATGCATAGGTTATACTGTCATGCCCATGTCTGGCATAGCACAATTGCTTCTTTATGCACAGGTTATACTGTCATGCCCATGTCTGGCATAGCACAATTGCTTCTTTATGCATAGGTTATACTGTCATGCCCATGTCTAGTATAGTACAATTGCTTTTTTACGCACGGGTTATACAGTAACCTGTGTCTAGTAACAGTATAAACAATCTCAATAGGCTACACACCAACAGCATGTCAAATAACAAAACGGTAACTAGTAGGATGGCTCATTGGTACACCAAGTGGTGCTTTAGCATAATAGTTTTGAGCTTTATTAATCTCTTTGTAAGAGGCAATTTAAGACTAAAAGCAAACTATGAAAGGTTGAACAGCATTCGGTAAGCTTTTGATTACATGTCCATTATCTTTTTTTTTTTTTTGAGATATATACAAGAGTTGTTACATTCTTGTACAGCCACTAGTACGCGTAGCGTTTCGGGCAGGTCCCTGGAATACGATCCCCGCCGCGAAGAATCGTTGTTACAACCAAGTACACGTTTTACTGTTGAGTTAAACAGAGGCTACAGTTAAGGATTTGCACCCAATAAATCTTTCCCGGCCAGGATACGTTCATTCAGTTCAATACTAGGGTACTGTATTTAACAATGCATATATTAGGCTTTCATGTGTATATTAGATCACGTGTCATACATATTAGACTTCACACTATACAGAATATTAATATTTGAGTATTTTTTTTATTGTATAGTCAGTAGTCAAGAACTTCAATTACTTTTCATTACCCACATTGTTCAACAAGTTAATCTAAAACACATTTACCTTTTTTAGACATATGTTATTAATGGGTGATTTCCATTTTTTCTTTTGCAATTCACATTCATATCTATAACAATTATGTAAGATCACAGTCATTTTAAATAATCTTGGTATTTTGTATACACAAAAGTTATATAGACATATACAATTTTGTATACACAAAGTTGCAGAATAAATTTCCTTTTGATATCTCTTCTTTGAGTTTACCATTTCATTCATTTTTCAATCTGTGGTTGAAATTAATATCCAAAAAACTGCAAGGGTCATGAATCAATAAATATATGTCTAAATACACACATTAGAGAAAAGACAATATATCCTTGAGCTAGAATTCTTGCATTGTTAAAAACTAAATTATAGGCACGATGAAAGAAAATGTATACAAACACATGGCAACAAAATTAAATACTCATTCAAATCAACGGCAGCAGAGGTGATGATGCACTTACCTTCTGCAGAGCTGATGGTACACACACAATCAATAATCAGTATCAACCAATACTGCACAGTATTTTAAAATACTGTATTGTAAATGATTTCTACGTAATTTGCCGACGACTAAAACACTGCATTGAACTTTCTAATCAGTTAAACACAAAGCTTGCAATAATTTATTTACCTACCTGGGCATATATATTTCTGGGTTTATATTAAAAAGAAGTCTAACAGCAATGATTTAGTCAACAGCATTCTAAGTAAATGACATAATAAATATTTACATTACCAACGAATTCTTGACCGAACCAGATGATCGTACGTTTACACTCATTTCTCAAGCAACAACCAATCAAGTAATAAACATGTAAACCACTGAATATACAAGGAACTTCACTTGTCATTCAAAATATTGAATTTGAATAATCAGCTGATGTAATATGCCTCAAAGTCTGCCAAAATGGAGAAAGCACAAACTGTTTTATGATTCTACATTTAGTTTTCAAACACGAGAACAGAACTAACTACAGGCAAGCTCATGCTTTTTGCAACTTAAGACTGTGCAAGTACAGAAGCTTGTCACAAGCAACAAGTGTCAAGAATGACAAGTGAATTCGCCACAGTTCATAACATCTACAACAACAACAACAACAGAAAAATATGCCATCATGGTTCTTTATATACAGAACTTTATAAGCACAAAATCTTACTAGATAATAAATTGAATTTGGCTCAATATATATAAATCCATTGATCTAAGGCTATATTCTCAAGATTAAGAGTCAGAATCTATAAATCTACACATAAATGGCCATCAATGGCAACCTTTTCTGTGAAGCAAGAGGTACAACACTTACCAACTGGTGCTGCTGCGGGTGGTCGGCAGTGGGTGGACTTCCTTCCCCACTGTAATTTTCTACTCCTGAGAGTCCTGCAGTAAAGTCCCCTCCACCCAGCCACTGAAGAAATACAGTATAACATTCAGTTAAGACTGATCATTTACATACTGTATATTGTATGTATTTGAAGATTACTAGGTGTAATTTTCCTGGTGCCTGGTGATAGACTCAACAAAAGACTAGTCAACAAATATTTTATTCAAAAGGATCTGGTGCCAGAAGTTTTGACCAAATATTCCCAGTTTGCTAACTGTAGGTAATAACCGAGTGATTGTAACCTACCTATCGCTGTCCACTGGATGGGGAGGAATGTGCAGGATAAACATATCAATTGTGACACTAGCTCTCCACACATGTCAGTTGCTTAAATTAGAAATTGACTTGTGGTCGGTCTAGAGCCCATTGTTGATGTGACTACGTGCATTGAATTTTGTAACTAGCTCATCAAGATTGTAACTTGCTTAGCTAAATGAATTGTGGGGTTCAGTCCCTAAGCCCATTATGTGTCTCTGTAACCATTTCCACTACCCCCAAACAAGATGGGTATGGGGTGCATAATAAATACACTAAATTAACTAATTTGTTAATGTAACCCAGATGTAACAGCAATAGTAGAAACTATCACTGAAATGACCACTAATGCAATATTCCTTAGATAAGACCAGAGAGCAAGAAGAGAGAGCAGGGGAAGAAGTGGATGTGGCCCAGCTGGTGTGGATCAATCAGCTGTGCCACACCCACTCCTTCCTCTGCTTTCTTGGCTATTTGGATAAGGTATTAGATGAAGGTACTAGAGTAAAAAGAATACTTATAATCATGTCACTGAAATTATCACACACGACTGTTCAATTGTTACAGAGTATATTAGAAAGAAAGTTAAGATTGAGGTAGCTTTCCTGGCGAGATTTACTTCAACATGTCTAAAATAGTGACAAAATTTATCAGAAAATTAGAAAACTTTGAGGTATCAGCAATTGCAGAATTACGAAGGGAACATTAGCACAAATTAATTCAGACAAGAGAAGTTGCTGTGTTTCACCTGAAACTAGTGATACAGAACCTTGTGGAGACATTGCAGTAACTATGACAATTAGGAAATACAGCTGTGGTGTACATGTAAACAAAAATACAATCCAGAGTATAATTTGGCAAACTTCATGTATACTGTATTTAATTCAACTATACAAATATCCAGATTTCGATGAGAAAATTAGAAAAATTCATGAAAATACAATATTAAACTAACCTCATGCATGCCCGAGGGCCCAGCTAGTGCCTCAACAACTACTTCTGGCAGTGCTTGCGCCAAGTGGCCGTGATGGCCCTGGCTTTCATACTCTTTAGGTAGCAATAACTTGGTGGAGTCATCTTGAGCTCCATCAATGGCACTGCCTGATATTTCATCCGAAGCAGGGTCATAGCTCATACTTGTATTTAGAGAATTAATTTGGTTATCTCCTGGATCCTCCCATGCCTCTTCCTTAATAACTATCGCCTCATCACCACCATCCTGTAATTAAATGGAGATTGCTTAGGCATTAAATTGAATTAGGCATTACTTAAAAGTAAGGATGCATTCCAGTACAAAGAAAACTACTGAACGTGATGAAATGCCTCTCTCTAGAGGGGCCTTGGTGGCTGCCTATTGCTAGCCACAATGAGATAGCTCCACACCTATAAACATATCAGCCCTTGTGAGTCACCGAATGCCTACCAGGGACCAAAGGCCAAAACCTAGGCCCTGCAAAAAAGCTGCAGAGAGCAGGGGATCCATGATCACTCAATGAAAAAGCAGCCCTTCAGACAAGAAGTGACACAAAACAGACAACTGCAAGCTTCACAAAAAGTAAACAGCGCAGCAAACAACTCGACAAACAATCCATCCAAGTGTTAGGTCATGCACCCTCCTAGTAGCATCTGTCCGTCACCAGGCGGCAGCACAACAGGAGCCCAGTACTCGCTCACTACCAGTACAGAGGAAGACTTAAAATATAAGCCAACAGGAGGCAAGAAATAATATAATCTAGTACAATAAACATGAATTATCACAAATAATAACAACTTTATTATAGGTTATTCATTTAAAAAAGATTGCTATTTAATATAATTTAAAATATTCAAAATGAAACAAACATTTAAATGTTGCAAGTTGTAATAATTAAAGATTTACAGACCTTATATTGATTTCTAGAGGAGTCTTGGGAGCCAGATTGATGTGTAAGTCTCTGGTTGAGCTGCTGTTCTCCTCTCTGCCGAGTTTTGTTTGCATTTGTTCTCTCACTATTGTCCCCTCTGTCAGAAGCACTATCTTCCACACTTTCCAATCTCTCCTTCACATCCTCTAGATTTTCTCCTTCACCCTGATAACTAGCTTTTGAATTTTCTAACATTTGATTACTTTCTCTAGTATGTGCAGATCCTTTGGGAGAATCTGAAGCACGTGTAGGAGATGATCCTCCATGAGATGAGGTTTCATTATCTTCTCTTCGTCTTCTCTTTGGGTATGGACTGTTTATGTCATCAATAGATTCTACTCCACGAGCCATTTTTAACTGAGGACTAGACCTCTCACTGCTTAAACTGCGGTTATTCACTGTACTTTTCTTATCAGCCGGTATTTCATCTGGAACAGCCAAGCCCTTAATTTGCAACAACTCTGCAACTTTAATAAGACGAGCCAAATCTCTCTGGGCAACACTCACTATACCAGCATACATATAGCTTAAGAGAGCTTCTAGTTCATCACGTCGCACATCCTGCAGCAATACAACTGGGTGCTTCCCCAATGTGTGTTCAAACATGTCCTCAAAATACTGGCTGCAAGTTGATAGCACCAGTTTATGTACTGGGTAGAATCTGCCTTCACATGCCACAGTTGCATCAGTATATTTTTCCTAAAACAAGAAACAAAATTACATACAGTATTTAATTTCAAAGCTGTCATATAATGATTATGCAAGTATGTTGAGCACAATATATTACATACACTGTTAATAGGTTCCCCCTTGTGCCAGTCGTTTTCCTAATATTCCTTCTTTTATGTCACTTGTGTACCATTTCCTTCATACTCCAAGATAGTGATTAACCAAGACATGAATACTTGGCAGGCTGTGGGCTAACTATGCGACTGTCACTAGTTTGTGATGGAATCTCATAAGCTGCTCTTTATAAGAGTACAGGTACTGATATTCACTTAAAGTACAGTATAAACATTTATCCAGTCTTTGTCTCAATTTACATACTATTAAATATATATATTGCATTTAATATTGTCTTACAGTATTGTCCTACTAAATGTGATATTTAAAAAATTGAGATCAATATGTATCAAGACCAATGGATTGAATTGCCTTAAATAATCAATATTACAACAATTTTAGTTTTCTAAAGCAATACCAAATTTAAGCCATACACATTCTAGTTTCTCAGTGCAAGCAAATGGCAACTGTGTGTGGAAGTCAACCTATTACACGAAGCTCAGCAAATTTTTCAAGTGTATCTTAAAAGTCATTAACAATAGAAGGAACTGAAAGGAAGTCATATGTCTAGAAAGACTTGGCATAAGATTATTCTCACAAGGAAGAGAAAAATTTATGTGATAGCGTATTTCACTGATAGAATATTTTATTAATACACAAATGACTGGTTTCCTTTTAAGAAATTTCCAGAATGCTATTTTAGAATTTAATCACAGTATATTTTATTTGTCTATTGCTTTTCAAAGCAGAGAACCAAGAGGTTGAAAGCATTTCAGAAACTACCACCTGTACCCTATTTGTGAGAGCATGCAAGTCAATGTTGAAAAATGACAAAAGTATATAATGTTTTCTTTAAATCGTCAGTGATAATGATCAAGGGTTGTAACACGGGGAGCTTTTCTGTGCATTGGTTTCTCTGAACAATGCTGAAGATCTTTCCTTCTTTCCTTCCCCCTCTACCCGTATTCTTACTTTTTATTCTCTACAAGGGAGTCCAAAACTTTTACTAAAGCCGACTCCACGCCACGTGGTCCTAAGACGATTGACCGACTTAGGATTCTACAACCCGTATGACGTGACATAGACTTTGAGCAAAACCCTAGAGTCGCCTCCGCCGCCACCACCAGACCAGTAACACAGAGCAATGATCGAGGTCTGGATCGATCATGCTAATTAATCAACCTTGGGGCTTGATCCCCACTAGTAACCGATGACCTTGGAAACTTGGAGTGTGGAATTAATTACACGGGAATGATGAATTCCGACTCGATGTTAGAATCGGCGCCCAATCCAACTCTGCCTCGTGTGGACCACGTGACCAGGACAAGTTCACATCACATAAACACATGGAAATAATAAAAATGCAAAATATTAACTAATTAATTTATTAAAAGAAAACTAAAACAAAATCTAAATATGTTCACTCCCTGTCACTTTAACACTCCCTACTTGACCTGAACGGCAATGAGTTGACTATCCCTATAAATAACAATAGCAACTATACCTCTATGTTGACCAGCTAAAGATGTTGGGCTGGTCTTGGGGGAGAGGTGAGATGGGTTGACCTCCCCCAGTTGATCTGGAGTCCACACTGATCTCTCCTCGTCTGGTCTTCCCCAGACTAGAGCATTGTATCCTTCCGCATAGTCTAAGTTTTACCAAGTTACTAGCAAGGTTTAAGTTATAACAATTAACCTCTGTTTGTACTGAATTGATCCAGACTGGTTGAATTATTTTACTGAAGTTAAATTACACAAGCATCTAACGGCAGAGCTGTTCCCGTTCCCCAAAATGGTTAATTGAACTTTGAGAAATAGTAGACATGTCAACTCTGATGACCTATGACCGCCAGGTCACTCCGCCTTACAACTTAGATCTGATTCGTGACGTCACTGATGGTGACTTAACTCAATAATTAGAATACTCTTGATATTGTACCCAGTAATATTATACAATACAATTTTAATACAAAATGAATAAAAGGCTAATTTCTCTAAATTACTGAATACTATAGGATGATTCATTATACGCAACTATGAACAGAGACGCCCGCCATTTGTGACTCAGACCTGCTAATCCCAGGGGAATGTGTGTTGTTGAGGTCCCACTTCTGGAACCTTCTGGGGAATTTTTTGCACCACAACCCAGCTAATTGTGCCCTTTTACCCGTTACTTCCACAGTTTACCCGGCTGCTCCTGCAGTTTACCCTGCTACTTTGTCCAGCTGAGGTCAGGTCCAAGGGGTTGTCATACACGAGCTCCCATGACCTATAAAATGCTCTTATACGGCATGCATCTGCAATAGCCTCTGACAACCAAGTTCAACTCCTGGCCTGCACAGGTGGCTCAGTCTTTAAGTCCGGCAGAACTGCTTTTACCAACAGGAGAAGGGGCAAGAGCGTGCCTCTGGCGCCTTAAAACCAGTTGCTCCGGGTAGATGGGACTCGATAGCCTGGGAAGGCAGCCCATCTAGGGGAACCATTGCCTCACTCAGGGTACCCGGTGTGGCATGTTCGACACACAACGGGCACATGAACTGTACAGAGGGGGACTACATTATATGGGGGCCATTGCCCCAAGAAAAGGGAGATGATATGGGAAAAAAGTTAACAAGATATAGCTGGACAGATCAAGTTAGTAATGTGAAATATGTTTAACAAAAAATATATAAAATAAATGAAAATGTCGTGTCTGCCAGTGTACAAGATGCACCATATGGGGAATATCATTTTTAGTATGTTTCATCATACATTTATTGAAAGTGATGTTTAAGTAGTTTTGTGAGAGAAAACATACAATTTTGTGCTTGTTAATACAACATATATATTGGGTTGGTGGTGGATAAAAAACCGTGCATCCTATCCATTAGAAAATACCGTATATATAAATGTACTAAAATGCAATTTATTTAAATGTTTAAACAATAATGAAACCTTACCTTATGTCTTAGCTGTGACAGCATGTGGCAAAATGTGGTGCTGTGGTTGTTCCATGATAATGACAGCATCCCATCTGCCATCTTGGAGATGATTAGTTCCCCCCTAAACAAAAATGAAAATTTACATTAAAAACAAAACAAAAAAGGTTGTTTCATATCACCTTAAATACCTACAGAATACATGGTAAGATTGCACAAGAGCAAGAGCGATATATGGTATATCAACATGCGATATAGTGGCATATTGCTGTGACATGAAATTAAAGCAGAGTATAGTGGCCCCTCCATTAACGAATAACACTTTTCTTCACCTTTTTTTCATTTAACATTTAGGCCTAAGGGTAGATACTAGAAGTGTTAAGTTATCCAGAGCTATATATTTCCTAGATCTAAAGCCAACAAATGGTTCATATCTGGGACCTCTATGGCTACTAGATGTATGGGAGGCAAATGTGCACAATTACTGAACTAGAAACTTCAATAATTTGTAGCATATTTAGTATAGACAACCAAACAAATACCAAGAACTCCGAGGCATACCCCTGTACTTTAATAACATATTGAAACATAAAAGGTATAGAGTAGAAATCTTGCTGAATAAATAATTGAACATTTAAAAAACTCAGAACATATTTCTCAAAAACGTTTCTATCACCAAATTTCAGGAGTTATATTTTGTTTAATGTATTTAATTTTATTATCAAGTGCACATACAATACTTAAACTGTAGGATGACACTTAGAGATTTCTAGAGAAAGGCATTACTGGTAATACTTGACATCCACATACAGTATTGGTACCAAAATCTGCCCCACTTCTAGCATCAGGACATCAAAATCAACCATCTCCAAATCAAATGCAAATACCAACAAAATCAAACTGTAGATGAACATCCTGTAATTAGCCTCTGGACACATGGGATAGGGTGAAAAATAAATTGCCACTACAAACACGAAAACACTACTAAAGAACACAGATACACCGATGTCAGGACTATGCCTACATGTGCTCAAATGCTCAAAACAAGTCACCCCAGTATATCAACATACGTCTATGGTGCTACAAGTACCACCTCACCACTGACATGAGGTCAGTGGTGTGGTCAGGTCAGTGGTAGAATGCACCATTGTGCATTTTATTGACATGAACTAGTACATGGCTTGATGATCACATACACAACAAATCCAAATACGACATAACCCCCATTAACCTGTATGTAAACAGTGCCAGCAGTGAACACAGCTGGCAGTGGCAGGCCTTGTCAAGCTACCATCAACTCGTAAAAACCATCTATTAATGCATTTAATTAGTTATCAATGGGATGACCGAGGGAGGGAAATTAGAAATGATAGTTTGGCAATTAACAAACCGCCTCTTAACACAGGCGCTCTGCCAGCCTGTTTTCCGTCTACACACCTGTATATACACGGCACTTAAGAGGCCGTGGAGTGCCTTAAGTGTGTGTGAGAGGGATAGTTAAAGTAATGGGACAAGCTAAATCAATGAGGCGAGAAGGAAGGCTCAGCCCCTATAGTGGCCGTCTTGCTCCTCTCTCCACCTTACCCCATCACTATAACACCTCTACTTGACCTTTCCTATTAAACTCGTACTTTACTCACTCGAGGGAAGTTTACGTAAACAGTCTTGGGTACTGCGAGGAGTTTACATGGAGAAAACAAACAAGAGCGAGGCGACACATCAAGATTTTCTTTGTTTGGTTCCAATACTGGGCCGAGTGACCCACCTGTAAGAAGGGCGTATCTGCCCCTCTTGGCCCTCACTCTTATATCTTGCTCACCAATATGTTATCCCTCTTATATAAAAAAAGGAAACTACTCAATAACGAGCCGCCATAGAAGTAAAGTGCTTCTTACTATATTAATATACAAACTTAAATTTCTAACTAGCTCTTTATATAACCATAATTCTTGTAAAATCATTTTGTTTTTTTAAACGCACCATTTCGTTCATTCATATAAACATTTTTTGCAATTATTTGCTATTCATATATAACTATATTTTTATGTAGTGTTCTATAATATAATGAGCTTTATTTGTTTCTATGAATATTCTAAACAGTATATAACAAGGCAATTTTAGTTTTATTTGAAAAAACAAAATTGGCGGGAATGATGGCGTTCATTCGTGCACCATTTAAACATCTTGGCCAACATAACTATATAGTAACATATTATATTTTATAAATTGTGCACCTAATTTAATAATCACTATGTCAATATAAAAAACAAATCAATTTTCCTTATTTGATAAGCTAGTACCACAAGGGTTCATTTTGGGACCAACCATTTTTGTCATATTTAATTCATTGTGTCGCGGGACAGGCAGCCAGTATATTTATACACGTTAGGCTTATATCGAGGCCATCCTCAGGATGCAACCCCACAACAAGCTGACTAACTCTTGGATACCTACTTACTGCTAGGTGAACAGGAGCATTAGGTGATAGGAAACGTGCCCAACCATTTCTGTCCTGTCCGGGATTCGAACCCAGAATTCTCAATTGCGAGTCGAGAACAAACCCGACTGTACTACCGGGACCTTTAATATGACGAGGTGAATATTACCTGAATTTACCTGAGGGAGAACAGGTAAATTTCTGTTCAGGTTACGAGAACAAAAAGCCGTCGGCTTTTTCCCCCCATTTTTCTTCATCTTTTCCATTTGGATTGTAAAAGTTTACAGTTTTGCATGTGCGGTTTCGGCGGGTAGGCGGTTCCATGGGTTTATAACCCTGTGAGTGGAAAAGCATCTGTTCTCAGTCCTACATTATGGCTTGTTGAGCTTGAAGCCGTTACTCCTTACAAGCAAACCACATCATCAAATTCACAGATGACACTAAGATTTATTTAAAGTGGGAAGATGGTCATTCAAACAGGTCTACATGACCGCCACAAATGGTCAGAAGACTGGCAAATGCTTTTTAAAGAGAGTTGCTGTATCTCTAGATGTGGACTATATGCAGGCAGGCAATTTTTCTACATATTATTCATATCTAGTTATTTTGCTTCCTTGCAACTCATCCAGCTTTCATAAAAAGGGGTTTCTCAGCAATATACAGTACACAAAAATAACTAACAAATACCCTCACATCAAAATATTGCTATCTAAATTAGGAAATTTAATTCACATTAGTCCCTTCCAAGAGAACATCATTAATTCAAGTTTTAAATATTAGTGGGAAGAAAAATTCCTATGACTTAAGCTTTACTTCAGGCAATACACTATACTGTATTAACAAGAAAGAATCCCTGGAAGATTGGTAAATACATATTTAAGATCTTTTCACTGGTTTAATATATCATGAAATGTACAATGTACTGTATATCTAAATGAACGACAACTGGACAGCTTTAAATACAAATGGTGAAGAAAAACATGCTACTTTAAGCACTATTTATTAAAAATGTAATTTACATTACAGTGTACAATTTAATAGTCATCAGTCTTCTAGAATATTTTACAATACAGTACAAGTAAATTTAAAATTTTTGTATGGAAAATTAACCCATTCCATGTTAGACTTCTTGAAAGACTGATTTCTAGAATTTACTTTTCTCCCCCTGGAGGAGGGGGTGGTAATGGTGGACGAGGTGGTGGTGGTGGCGGAGCCATGCCTGGGGGAGGAGGTCCACCTTGACCACTAGTAACTGGTACCCCAGGAGGTGGGGGCCTCATTCCTCGTGGGGGAGGACCAGGAGGCATAGGTCCTCCAGATGGGGGAGGGCCTGGAGGTAGTGGTGGCCCACCACGCATGTGTGGTCCCATTCCAGGCATTGGTGGCGGCCCAGGAGGACCTCTTGGAGGATAAGGTGGTCTTCCAAATGGAGGCCTTGGGGGGCCACCTGGATGTGGAGGTCTCCATCCTGGTGGTGGTGGTCTCATTCCTGGTGGAGGCGGCATTCCTGGAGGACCAGGTCGTGGTGGGGGCATACCAGGTGGTGGTGGCATGCCAGGCCCACCTTGCCAAGGAGGTGGAGGCATGCCAGGACGTGGTGGGTAATGTCCATATGGTGGCATCTGTCCCGAGTTGGTTGTTGGAGGCCCCGACATAGGAGGCCCTGGGGGACCAGAGGGTGGAAGAGGGGGCTGTCCAGGAAGAGGTGGTTTTGATGGTGGTGGAGGCATGGGAGGAAGAGGAGGAGCAGATCCAGGTGGTGGGGGTATAGAAGTTGTGGGTGGAACATTAGGGAGAGGAGGAACAGAAGCAGAAGTGCCGGGTGGTGGTGGTACTGGAGGTGGAGGTGGGACTAGCATGCCAGGAGGAGGCACAGACATTCCAGGGGGTGCATTTGATCCAACTCCAGCTGATGGAGGTGGTGGTGGTGCAGGAGGAGGAGGAGCAGACTGTGTAGGCGGTGGAGGAGCATCAGCAAACAATTGATGAGGCTTATCAGCTTGTGATAATGGGTTTTGAGCGGCAAGCAAACGCTCAGCTGCTGTACCGTGCCTCTCTCCTTTACTATCCTTCTTGAAGGCATATGATATGCTAATGGATCGATTACATAGATACTGCCCATTCATTGCTTCAATAGCAGCATCAGATGCTTCAAAGGATGCAAAATTTATAAATGCATAGCCTTTAGAGTTGCCTGTGTCTGGGTCTCTCATAATCTGCAAAGAAATAAAACATTTAAATAATGAGTAATGCCCAATAATGATAATGTCTATAAAATGTGTTAGGAAAGACTACAGCAGTAGTTTAGTTGCTTGTGCTTGATCACTTGTGCCTAAAAAAACTAATAGCTTCTGCATTACTGGATAAAAGGAAGCTACATAAATGCCACCAGTTCTTCCAGTAATATATACAGTATTGCACTACTGTCATGTGTTGAAATATTAGTTAACTAAAGAAAAACAGTTGGAATGCAGATTTTTAACATTTGGCTTTTCATGACTGCAATCAACTTCTAATTTATCACCATCAAATTACTCTTTTCCAGGTGTATGTATGATCCTTAAACTGTAGAAACACACGACCAGACACCCAGAATGGTGCATTATAGAACAAAAAAAAAAAGTTTGGTGCTCAGCCACAAAAATAAAAATGAAAAACCAAGTACAGTACTGTATAGTACTGTACCTCCAACTCGACTATAACTGCCAGAGAAGCATGCAACATCCCACACATACATGGCAACCTCAAAATTCTGCATCATATCCTTCCTAACCCAATCTGGCTTTCCCACTACTGTAACAGTAATTGCCCTTGGCTGTTTAATGCACAGTGCAACCTCAATTCGGTAAACAATATGGGACTATCCCTGATTCACTGAAAATGGAGATGTCATCTGGATGCATTTTGTGAATTTTGTATTTTTAAGACAAGAAAAATACTTTTCTTCAGCTGTTTCTTTCTTCTAATGTTGCTTCCATCTACAGTACAGATACGTAAATTTGTCCACAGCTGCCATGTTAAAATAATTAACATTTAGTACACATTAAATTGAGAGAAGGGTCCGAAGTCAATGGACAATGTTTTTCCTCCACGTCCATACATATATGTGTGTGTGCAAGATATGGCTGTCACCTCCAGTGGTTTTGTGCATATTTAAAATGTGTGGCTAGTAGAATATAGTACAAATGTGTACTACTGTATCCTGTTTATTAAGATTAATGCTAAACTGCTTTAGATGAATCAATACCTGAACACACAAACATGAGGACATATTTAAAATTAAATTACAGCTCAAGTTCAAAATTATAATATTTTTTATAGTACCTATTTCAGGTAATACATGTAGGAAGTTGACACACTGAAATGATGAGAAGATAATAAAGGTAATATGAAGATGATTTCCTAGTGCCAGCTTGCTTGAGTAATAAACACAAGAAGAATAGTGGTGTGTTTCAATGCTCCTCTTGATTTTCCAGCCACAGCAAGAGTGGAAACATACAGTACTATGGACAATTATATCATGAAATATGTTGGCCAAACCACACACTAGAAAGTGAAGGGATGAAGACATTTCGGTCCGTCCTGGACCATTTTCACAATCGACTTGAGAATGGTCCAGGACGGACCAAAACGTCGTCGTCCCTTCACTTTCTAGTGTGTGGTGTGGTTTGGTCAACATATTTCAGCCACGTTATTCTGACTCCTCGTCTGCATATCATGAAATATCCTAATTTAGGAGTCTGGACAGATAATTAACTGAAAATCTCTCGAGAGTTTGTTACCTTCGGTGTTTGCAAGATGACTCCAAAAGCCGAGAAGGTGTCATAAAGAAGCTTCTCATCCACCTCTGGATCCAGGTTGCCAATAAAAATGTTTGCACCAACATCCAAGTTCTTTTGGTGGGCAGAGGCCTTGTTGACTCTTATGGGCTTACCAAATAACTGAAAACATTATTAAATATGTATAACACGTTAGACCATTCGTAAGTAATCATCAAAGAAAGCACCAAGCCGGGAAGGCTATGTAGCACAGACCATTCATAAAAAGAAGAAAAGCTGATCGGGAAGACAAGCAAACAAAAAATTTAAGATGCATGGAAAGCCTTGATGAATATGAAGTAGGATTGGCAGGAGGTTTATGGTGTTTATTCTCCCCTCCTTCAGTTAAATTTAAAGCCAATGCAAACAAAATTTTATAAGTTGTACAAAAGTCAAATGGAAAGATTCTCAAGGCTCACTTTCACAAAGAATTATTGTGGGAATTTAAATATAATTAAATCCACAAAAATATGCTGCTAAACTTTCTCCCTTCATTCTGGATATCCTAACCCCTTTTCCTAAGTCACCCTCTGCTATCTCCACTAGACTATATGTCTGAGATGGCATGACATGTCAGGTATATACATACTAACTGCCTAATTATATACAAGATTTAGAAAGCAAGTTATGTTCAAGAATTGGTATAACCAGCTTCTCCAAGACAGTGCCAAATATTACACTTAACATTACAGCACAGATAATTATAAATGTGAATAAATTCATCAGCTTATCAAAGTGAGTGATAAAGGGTTCCTAAGGAAAGAGCCAAAACTGACTAGTTACGCAATACCACAGCTAAGTAATACAGTGGAACTTCGATACAACAAACTCAGCCTGATCCAAACTTTCAAAGTTTAAATTGTATTAAAGCTTACAGCTAGCCTGTGTTGTTGCACTCACAATGACAAAATTCCTTAAAACATTTCTTTGACAGCTTATCACTCCACCTCATCCACTGAGGGTTCCAAGAGGCTAGCAAATGGACTACGACTGATGCTCCATAAATGAAGAGAAGGGGTATGACACTAGGGATGACAAAGAATATAATAAGGCACTCTGAAGCTGGATAAAAATGTTGCAACACTAACAAAACTCCGGGCCTGGCCACCAATTAATTTTACATTATACAAGGACCTTGTGGATATTAAAGACATGGCATAATACATCATACCACTTAAATGCAGCTATGCTAATGAGGAAGATGCATTAATAGGAAATATGGAAAAGTTGCTGGGTATGTAGAATGGGTACAGTACCAGAATCAACACCAAAGTTTCAAATGTTGATATGATAGAGCCTAATAGGCTCAAGAACCTGTTCAACAATTGAATGACATTGAGAGGTGGGACCAAAGAGCCTGAGCTCATTCCCCCCCTCAAGCACAATTAGGAAGATATAATTAGATGACAATTAAATGAGTACATACCTTTCAAATATTACTAATTTAGGTGTAGGTGCATCATTTGTTTCATGACCTCGAGAACTAAGCCAGTAAAATGCAATGAGTGAAAAATCTGGTCTAAGTACTTGGTGGTTTGCTCATATTAAGAGAAGCTAAAATTTATATTACCCAAGATTATTGAAATGGCGAAGCATACTATATAAGCATACTGTATACGCATACTGTACATACTGTACTATAAAAGTGATTATTGAAGCTGGCTACTTTTCTGAGCATGAGTTCAATGTGGATGAGATGGTTATTTTGAAAGTGCCAGCAAGCACATCTTTATCCAAACTAGAAAAGACTGTTCCCATTTCATGGGAATCAAGGCCCTTTCCATTCTATTAGTGGGTGCCAATGTAGCTTACAATTGCAAATTAAAGCCACTGCCAATCTCATAATTACTCCACATTAAACTATAGCATTAACAGTTAGTATGATAGCTAGTACAACTAATGTACTTATTGATGATAGTGTACAAATTAGCAAATTCAGAAATAAATTATAAATGAGAAATGAGATGGGGAAGCACTCCACTAGCTCCCCTTTCTAAATTATAAGGCAATACTACTTGCAGTGTCCTGGGTGGCCCCTGGCTGTTGGCTCATGAAGCAACTCAGGAGACCACTCAGAATAAAAGAAATGCTCATAATTTTCTTGTGCTAAACTTGTGCTAAACAGAGGGCATTCCTTGAATACCCATGTGGAACCTGATTAACAACACAAACAAGATCAAATTATTTGATTTTTTCCTCAAATTGCTACACTGTTGAAAAGATTGCACATGTAAGCAATATTCACAAGTTTCCATGAAATTCTGGAACACAGCAATGTATGTATAATTTTCCATATCTGAAACAATGAATAAAAGTGAATAACTACCTTAATCACTGGTTATAATACCATGCAAACTAGGGTTGCCAATTCACACATGTCTGGTTAGAAATGTGGTATGAGATATATCCTGGCCATATTAATGCATATCTCCTCCCTTTTATTTATTTATTTATATACAAGAAGTTACATTGGGGGTTAACAGAGAATATAGAAAATAAGTTGAATTAACATTCTTGTAAAGCCACTAGCACGCATAGCGTTTCATGCCTCCCTCACTTCCTACTTTATCAAATGGCAAAATATTTCCAAACATGAATAAGCTTATTATAGATTATGAAAGAGATAAACAAGCCCCAAGATATTTTATAACAAATTACTCAAGAGACACTCACCTTTATCATATTCATAATTTTTATAGCATAGTCGGCATCTTCCTCCCCCATAAACTCAACAAAGCCATAACCCTGATGCTGCTGGGTAACACGGTCCTTGGGCATGTGGACGTTCACCACTGGTCCAGCTTGAACAAATAATTCCCAAAGTAGCCCTTCTGACACTTTGTCGTCAAGACCTCCAACATATATGGTGGCATCTAGAGGAGAAAAAAGGCACAATTAGTCACATAAAAATTGTATTTTCTTGGATAAAACAGTTATATTTTAGTGCCTTTTTCAAAATGTTATAAAGGTGTCAGCTAACAGGCTAATCTTTTTTTAAAAGATTATCTAATTGAAAATGCACTAGAAAAGATGCTGGACCATCTCCTAACTACATTCTTTACACAAGTAAACCAACCCTTCCCTGAGGCTGACCCAACACACACCTCATCCACATGTACAGAGTATGACATCCAATCTAGCGCAACTACATTTATGTATTTGTATATGTCAACTTAAATTCAATTTGCTGTCATGACGAACACCAACGAATTTCCTTGCTATAAATTTTAGTATTGTTAATTGTCAGATTACATTGATTGGTGGACTTGTTTCCAAATAATATGCAATAAGTTTCTTCAATGTTGAGTGTGAGTTAGCAGTCGGCTACAAATGAACTCTTTTGAGTTCAGTATTCGCTGTCTAGAGTAAGTGGGTTGGCACGAGAGAAAAGGAAGGTTGTGTCCGCAAACAGAATTCGCTTAAGGTGTTTAGTGGTATTTGGTATGTCACTGATATAATGAGAAAGTCTGGACCAAATATACTATGCAATGCTTATTTGGCAGTGTGGGAAAAGCAGCACCATTCACAGAAACATATTAATTAATGCCTGTCACCAAGATCGCAAATATTATAAGTAGTGACCCCTTAACTCTATAATACTGTAGTTTGTGAAGGTCATTTTAATTAAAGGTATCAAAAGCCTTAAGCAGGTCAACATATAAACCTAATTAATATTAATTTGTTTGGAGCTGTATGTATCAAGTCGAGCACGTCAGTAAACACTTTAACATTTCTGGTCCAAAACTAACAAAAATTTACCCTAAACTCAAAATTTACATAACAAACCTTGGTTACGCTCCGCTATCGGACCAGCAGCCATGGTTACTAGTTACTAAAGAGCAAGTTTTATATTAAAAACATCTCGAAGTTAAAATCCGAGCTCGACCATGTTGACTACAGCAGGTAAACAAACGCTGAGTCAACTGGCCACTTGGTTCCTTTCTTTCTACGCTGAAATATAATAAATAATAATTATAATAAGAATAATAGTAATGACAGTAATAATACTGATAATAGTAATATTAATACTAATAATAGTAACAACAATAATAATAAATAAATATATTAAGCTGAAGGGTTTTGTAGAGTTTGGATTTTATCCAAAGCTACCCAAAGTCACAATAAAGTAAATAAATAAATAAATATGTTTATTCAGGTAAGGTACATACATACAAGTGATGTTACATTAATGGATTGATATATAGATAGAGCTAGTACATACAATGCCTAAAGCCACTATTACGCAATGCGTTTCGGGCAAGAAAAACATTAATATCTAGAACTTAATACTAATTGAGCATAAAGAATAAAAAGTGTTGAAAACAAATACAAATAAAGATAAAAAAAGGGGGAACATGACTGAAAAAGCAGCACAAATACAATAGGTTGACAAACAGTGTTGATTAAAAAAAATAATAATAATAAAATAAAATAACAGACATGGGTTGACAATAAAGGAGTGAGGTGGGTTACAGGGAATTTATTAGGTAGTGTTTAGTTTTTATCTTAAACTGGTTGAGAGAGGTACAGTCTTTAACATGGTTGGGAAGGTCATTCCACATTCTGGGCCCCTTGATTTGTAGAGCATTTCTAGTTTGATTAAGTCGTATTCTAGGAATATCAAAACTGTATTTATTCCTGGTGTGGTGCTCATGGGTTCTGTTACAACCTTCAATGAAGCTTTTGAGGTCAGGATTGGCATTACAGTTCAGCGTTTTATATATGTATAATACACAAGAGAGAATGTGCAGTGACTTAATATCTAACATATTCAGAGATTTGAGTAAGGGTACCGAGTGATGTCTGGGGCCAGAGTTGGTTATTGTCCTAATAGCAGCTTTGTGTTGGGTAATGAGAGGACGTAAATGATTTTGGGTAGTAGAACCCCAAGCACAAATACCATAGTTGAGGAATGGATAGATGAGGGAGTAATAGAGAGTAACCAGGGCAGGGCGGGGTACATAATATCTGATCTTAGAAAGAATGCCAACAGTTTTTGAAACTTTTTTTGATATATTTAGAATGTGACCCTGGAAATTCAGCTTGTGGTCGATGAGAACGCCAAGGAATTTGCCATCTAATTTGTTACAAATTTGGGTATTGTTTATTTTGAGATTTATCTGATTAGAGGATTTATTGCCAAAGAGAATATAAAACGTTTTGTCAATGTTAAGGGTGAGCTTTTGTAAAGCTTTACAAAAAGCTTATTCAGAGCTACCCAAAACTACCCAACGCTATCCAAAGTCACAAAAAAGCTCTAAGTTACTTTTGGTAGCTTTAGATAGTTTTTGGTAGCTACGTGTGACTTTGAGTAGCTTTTTGTGACTTTGGATAGCGTTGGGTGGTTTTGGGGTAGTTTTGAGTGACTTTGGGTAGCTTTGGGTGGTTTTGGGTAGGTTTTCGTAACTTTGGGAAGCTTTGGGTGGTTTTGTGTAGCTTTTTCATGACTGGTAACTTTGGGTGGTTTTAGGTAGCTCTGAGTAACTTTGGGTAGCTTTGGGTGGTTTTGGGTAGCTCTGAGTGACATTGGGTAGCTTTGGGTGGTTTTGGGTAACTCTGAGTGACCTTGGGTAGCTTTGGGTTGTTTTGGGTAGCTTTTTTTTTTACTTTGGATAGCTTTGCGTGGTTTTGGGTAGCTCTGAGTGTCTTTGGGTAGCTTTGGGTTGTTTTGGGTAGCTCTGAGTGTCTTTGGGTTGCTTTGGGTTGTTTTGGGTAGCTTTGAGTGACTTTGGGTAGCTTTGGGTATTTTTGGGTAGCCCTGAGTGACGGCAGGTTCAGGTGGTTTTGGGGAAGCACTAGGTGACTTTTGGTAGCTTTGGGTCGTTTTGGGTAGCTTTTTGAAATAAATACAGTTTTGATATTCCTAGAGTACGACTTAATCAAACTAGAAATGCTCTACAAATCAAGGGACCCAGATTGTGGAATGACCTTCCCAACCATGTTAAAGACTGTACCTCTCTCAACCAGTTTAAGTTAAAAACGAAGCTATACCTAATAAATTCCCTGTAACCTACCTTACCCTTCTATTGTCAACCAATGCCTGTTTTTTTTAAAGAGCGCTGTTTGTCGACATAATTGTATTTGTGCTGCTTTTTCATCTATGTTTTCATTTCTTGTTTTCATTCTACTCATTATGCTCAATTAGTATTAAGCTTGTCATTTAAGTTTATCATGCCCGAAACGCTTTGCGTAATAGTGGCTTTAGGCATTGTATGTACTAGCTCTACCTATAAGTCAACCATTCTTTGTAAAAATTTATTGTATGTATGTACCTTACCTAAATAAACATTTTATTTATTTTTTTTTTTGGGTAGCTCTGAGTGACTGGGCAGGTTCAGGTGGTTTTGGGAAGCACTAGGTGACTTTGGGTAGTTTTGGATAGTTTTTTGTGACCTTTGCGCAGCTTTGGGTTGTTTTGGGTAGTTCTGAGTGTCTGGGTGGTTTTGGGAAGCTTTTTAGTGACTTTGGGTAGCTTTGGGTTGTTTTGGGTAGCTCTGAGTGACTTGGGTAGTTTTGGGTAGGTTTTTGTAACTTTGGGCTGCTTTGGGTGGTTTTGGGAAGCTCTGAGTGGCTTTGGGGAGCTTTGGGTGGTTTGGGGTTATCTCTGAGTGACTTTGGGTAGCTTTGGGTAGTTTTGAGTAGCTTTCTTTTACTTTGGGTATCTTTGGGTGCTTTTGGGTTTCAACGGACTGGTCGTTTCGAACAAAATACGATTCGATTAAACTTCTTTTCTGTTTGTTAAAATTGTATATATTGTTATGCTAAGCTGTATTACCTTAGGTTATGATATATGGAACTCAGTTGGGTTAGGTTAGGTTGGGTTGAGCTAGATGGGGACTGGTCAAGTCGTATACTGCAATTTCGGATACCGGGCTAGAAACAACTTCGTTCACTGAGAAGTTTGTACATACAAACCATTCCGTTCGTATATGCGCTGGTTTGTGTTCGCTGTTGTTATCATCTGAATAAATACATGGCATTTGTTCATATAATTAGCGCTTCCATTATTAGAATTATTTATCCATTATTAGAATAACAAGGTGCAAACCATACCCCCTTACAGTTGAAATCTATTTATATACAAGAAGGTACATTGGGTTGCGAGAGTACATAACATATATTAAGAGGTACATTGTAGCAAGATTTGAGATTAAAGGATTTAAGACTAACACGTTTAGAAACAAGGCGCCCCCGAAGGAGGCTATTATTTGTTATGCACCCCATACTCAACCAGTAAGTAGTGGAGCAAAACATAGATTACATAGTCATAAAGTCTTAATCAGACCAATTCAATTCTATTTCTTTCTTTATTATGCACCCCATACCTATCCCGTGGGCGGTGGTGTAAAGGATTACAGAGGCACATAATCGGTTCAGGAACTGAACCCTCTAGTTCGTTTAGCTAAGCAAATAACAATTTGTGACGCTAGTTACAAAATTATTAATATTATATATATACATGTACACACTCTCATACATACATGTACATATATATATATATACGTATACATATATACATGCACATACATATCTAATCACCTACACAAATACACACATCAATAATCTTTGTGTCACAAGTGATCAATAAGAGGCTCACAACAGTCACTATACAAGGCACTTTACATCTATGGTGAGTCACACAGTTACTAGTCTTGCTGCACACCCACCCAACTGGGCGGCAGCTTTACAGTCATTTGCTCCACACCCATCCAACTGGGCGGCAGCTTTACAGTTATGTGCAGCATTACCTACAGTAAGCAAATTTTGATAGTCAAATCTACATCAGCAGATGTTACAAACTCCCAGAGGTACTTGTAGCCGAACCTAAGCCTAGCAGTGGTAACATCTAGAAGTCTGCTAACATTATTGGATGACCCATAGACGTGCGGTTCTTCCTGCATAATAGAATGATGATAGATGGAGTAACTGGTGTGAATTTCACTTTGCTTCAAGTCTCCGAAATTTAGCTGATGTTCCTGGGATATTGCTGCTCTCAGGCTGCTCAAAGGCAGTCCAAGTTTGTAATCAATTCCCTCTTTACGAGCAAAAGTCTTGGGCAACTCATCAGTTCTCAGTGGCTATTTTTACATTATCATTTACAACTAACTTAAGTTAAATAACAACCAGTAAACAGACTGCTGTTTTCTAATTCTAGTTCAGGCACTTCCTGGGATAAAACGCGAACATTCCTTGAGGAACTGTGAGGTGCTTATCTGTTTTTCCTCGTAACGGTCCCAAAGCTTCCACAAATGTTCCTGTTTCTCTTCATTGCTCTTGCGGCGACTGGACTTTAGCTTTTGATCAGAAACCAGTTGGTATTGCAAGGTTACCAGGGACGCCTCACGGTACAGTAAGGGGATTAAAATATATAAAGCCAAGTTGTCCCTCACTGCCCATTGATTCAGACGCTGGTGCCATCCTTCTACGTCATTGTTGGTCCTCACCAGTCGTCTAAATGCACACCAGTTCCCCAATTCCCACACACTGTTGCACAGCCACGTATTTTTTTTTATGTAATGAGTTAATTGTGTCGTTAAGGGTGGACTGCTAGCCGACTTTTCTAATTCAGCAAACGCCTTACAATTATGTAGTACATACGTACCACATAAGTACGTGTGTGTTATACACGTACACACACACACACACACACCTTGTCAAGCACAGGACGAAGCTTGAAAAAGTTTAATGGTATGCCAATAGGCTAGTCCCAGGACTAAGAGGCATGAGTTACGAGGACAGGCTGCGAGAAATGCACCTCATGACACTGGAAGACAGAAGAGTAAGGGTAGACATGATCACTACCTACAAAATTCTCAGAGCAATTGATAGGGTACATAAAGATAAACTGTTTAACACGGGTGGTAGGCGAACAAGGGGACACAGGTGGAACTTAGTACCTAAATGAGCCACTGGGATGTTAGAAAGAACTTTTTCAGTGTCAGAGTAGTTAATAGATGGAATGCATTAGGCAGTGATGTGGTGGAGGCTGACTCCATACACAGTTTCAAATGCAGATATGATAGAGCCCAGTAGGCTCAGGAATCTGTACATCAGTTGATTGCCAGTTCAGAGGTGGGACCAAAGAGCCAGAGCTCAACCCCCGCAACCACAACTAGGTGAGTATACACACAAACACACACACGCGCACACACACGTACACACACACACACAGACACAAACATACACATACTAATGCCTCTATTCACCTTGCAGTAAATAGGAACCTGAAAGTCAGGAAGCTGCTATAGGCTGCATCTTGGGGATGTGTGTGTGTGTTAGATAAAAATATATGTTGTTTAGATATGTAACGGTTCTATTGTTACGTAAAGTATGGTGACAAATAAACACAGACACTAAGATACTATATATATATTTGGTCGAATATACAGAAGTACACAGGTGATACGTTGGTGTGAGTTGAGCGCACTGAGCGTTGGTACAGTATCTCGCAAGTGTCTGCTCTAGACCACACTTGAAAGTAGACTAGTTAATGTTTGCTATTCTTGCTGCTTATATTGCTCGGGCAACACCTCACCGTGTTGCCCGGGCAACGCCTCACCTCATTCATCTCCAAAGGTTGACAGGAATATTAACACTATATTTGGAGCGAGTATATTATTGGGATAATCTACTCGCTACAGATATGATGGAGGAAAAGAGGCCGAGAGTCGGTACATTAGACAACCGACGCTTAGAAAGGCGGGGTCCAAGAGCTAACAGCTAAATCTTGGAAATAATAAATTAAAATATTTAATACACACACATACGTGTTTCACAAGAATTTGGCTGAGGGCTGGTGGCCCCGTCGACGGGGCAGGAAGTCGGCGGTTGATCAAAGGCCTCCCTCATCCTCCACATACCTGAGGATTATTCCGGCTTAATTTTAAACGGAAGTAATGTCTTGGTATTTACGGCTTCAGCGGGTGGGTGGGTCCGTGGGTTTATTACACTATGAGTGAAAACAATCGCCTATTCTCTATTTTATATTGCCGCTTGTAGAGCTAGAAGCTGTTGCCTCTTGTGTGCAACAGCTATTGGACACCAAAAGTTCCTTTTGCTAAGCAAGCTACAGTCTTGATAACGTCAGATATATTGTTTGTTAACACATTTCTCAACAATGAACAGTCAGTTTTATCAAGCTAACATATCCTAACAGAACGAGTGAGAGTATTAACTGGTCTAATTATTTTATTAGACCAGTATATATTATTAGATTATACTGGTATAATTATATATATATAAATATATATATATATATATATATATATATATATATATATATATATATATATATATATATATATATATATATATATATATATATATATATTACAACTATTTAACACTGGGAAGGGATCAGGATAAGGATTTGGGATGGGATGGGGAGGAATGGTGCCAAACCACTTGGACGGCGATCGGGGATTGAACGCCTAGGACTGCTACTGTGCATTTAAATTACTAACTTACCTGAGAGTCTCTATCCCTACATGTCAATGTTTGTGTATACTGGTAATGTGAGGAACATACAGAAGATAAGGGTAGCTGAACACTACAAAAGGCTGAAGGACAACTTTATTAAAGTTGCATAATGAAATGTGTAAGTACTTCATTCATAATGATATGCTGCCCGAAATCTTAGCGAAGAATCCAAAATTTGCTTACTGTAGGTAATGCATGCACATGACTGTAAAACTGCCGCCCAGTTGGGTGGGTGTGGGTGGGTGTGGAGCACATGACTGTAAAGCTGCCGCCCAGTTGGGTGGGTTTGCAGCAAGACTAGTAACTGTGTGACTCACTATAGATGCAAAGTGCCTTTTATAGTGACTGTTGTGAGCCTCTTGTTGATCACCTGTGACACAAAAATTATTGATGTGTGTATTTGTGTAGGTGATTAAATATGTATGTGTATGTATATATGTATACGTATATATATATATATATATATATATATATATATATATATATATATATATATATATATATATATATATATATATATATATGTGTGTGTATGAGTGTGTGTACATGTGTATACAACATTAATAATTTTGTAACTAGCGTCAAACATTGTTATTTGCTTAGCTAAACGAACTAGAGGGTTCAGTTCCTGAACTGATTATGTGCCTCTGTAATCCTTTACACCACCGCCCACGGGATGGGTATGGGGTGCATAATAAAGAAAGAAATAGAAGAAATTGAAATTGCATAATACGGTTATTGACATTCAATAATAGTAAGATAAAGCAATGAGGACCAAATGGGAGACCAGTGATCAGATGAATATTACAGACTCAAGGGTAGCCTTCTCTTCTTGTATATAAATGAAAAAATAAATGTTTGTTTAATTCTAATGCTTGTAGGCGAGAACAGTTGTGAACGCCAGCTAGCGCACAAGTACATGAGCGCCCAAAATACTTTTACACAAAAGACATGTACAGACAGGCGTGTGGCTTCTGACTTCTTTTTTATTGATTAATATTAAATATTAGGCGCTTACCTATAATAGTTATCATTTTATACATGTATAACTCTCACATAATAAATATAAAAGGAGTTTATCCAAAAACTGACAGAAGTGTTGTGTTTTGTGCGTTGTATCGTGTTTGTGGGCATTCGGGTGTGTTGTGTTTACGCTGGCGGGCGGCGTCCTTACCAACTCCGGATTATGTCTATTACATCACTAAACTTCATTTATTAACTATATGCCTGTTAAATAGAAGATTTTAATTGTTAATAGCATTATATTGTCGTTTTAATATGGAACACGTACACATATGCGAAACGTCTAAAGCTGGTGTCCGAAGTGGTAAAAATATTAGTGTGCGATGTTGTCAATGTACGGAGTGTCTTGTATCCAGCTAGATTAGGGTAGAGGTGTCTGGCGAATGGTGTTGTATACGAAGTGACTTAGAAGGTATTGGGTGTGTTGTGTACACAGTGACTCCGTCCACCACAATGGTCAGTCTCTGGGCTTTTAACCTTGTTTATCTTAATATACCAATTAATGTACTAATTGGTAATGTTGATTTGTTGAGTGTGATGCTTGGGAGAGCTGGAGTATGACTGGAGGCGACTATAGTAGTGATTATGGAGGTCCTTCACCTCCCTCTTAACACCTCAACATGTAGACTTAAAGACCCCAGAGATGACAATTTTGTGTTTTATTTATATATACGAGTTCTCACATTCTTGTACAGCCACTACGTAGTGTTTCAGGCAAGTCCTTAAATCTATGTTCCCTGGAATACGAGCAGATATATTGTTTAACAACCAGGTATCCATCCACTGCTGGGTGACCAGAGGCTACAGTTAAGGATTGGCGCCCAGTCAATCCTCCCCGACCAGGATACGAACCCAGGCCATAGCGCTGGTGAAGCGCCACACCAGTGTCTTACCGCAATGCCACGGGGAACGGGAGGGGGGGGGGACGGGGACATAACACCAAGCCTAACTTCCCGCCCTCGTATGGATAACACCACAATACCCTACACTGACAAAACTTTGAACATGATTTAGGAACGTAAATAAGGAGAGACACTGATAACTGTACATCACCTACATGAGACCAGTACTATACTTTTAATTGTCCTAAATAGTTTTGTAATGTACCGAACTATAATAACGCTATGAAACGCTATGCGTACTAGTGGCTTTAGGTATTGCATGTACTACCTCTATCTTTAAATCTAACAGAATGTTTGTACTGTAACTGTGCAACTATGTATGTACTGTTCCTAAATAAATTATTATTATTATTAATAATGTGGTGTATTTACTTGATTTATTCCAAGCAGACGGGCGGGAAAGCAGCAGAGCTAGCCTTAAACAGGATAAATGAAGCCAAGGATTTACTTGATCAAGTGTGTAATTTAGAGATGAAAAGTGTTAATGGTGCGAGTAAATTAAGGAAACGAATAGAAGCTGAAATAAAATTTCTGAATAAGGTAAGCATTGAGACAAATTATAATTTTTCTCTACTAAATATAATAAGGTTACAGTATGTCTTGCAATCCAATTCTCTGCTGCTATTGTGTCTGAGAATGTTGTCCAGAAATAGATTCAAACACTGGTGGGAGGAACCAAATTATAATAACAATAGCTGCGGGCTATTGATACACACTATCCTCATCACAAAATAACCAATTAAAAGCAATAGCAGAATTTTTTGTCATGGGTCTAGGTTAACTCCATTACTGTACAGTGTATCGTAAACATGTATTATGGCAATACAGTATTTACATCATTGTATAAACTTTGGGTAATAATAATTAAAATCAACACATAACTGCATCACCCTAGCAAATTACCACACTTTAAGGGTTAAAAAGCTTACAAGTCCCTTATGGCATTTTTGCTATGCAGTATATAGTTTAGTAATATCAAAGAGTATGTTATAATCCTGGAAGATAAGTTTGGAAACAGTATTTTAAAAAATATAGATAATTATGTTTAGTTTATACTGTATCTCTCCAAAAATACTGTTTTATAAACTTTTAATTACTGTTGCTTTCCTCCACTTTTTTATTTACTGTGATCATTAGTTTTTGGCTCCCTCATATTTTCTGGCTATGATTATTCTCTTCCCATATTTATACACATGTTATAGTTTTTAGTGAAAATATGCAAATAATTAAATATACCAGCATTGTTTTTTTTTTGCTTTTCTTTTTTTTTTTTTTTTTTTGCTTTTTAGGGTTTGAAAAGGGGCAGCGAGTTGAAAGAAGAGCATGTGATGTGTTCCAATCTTGGTCAGCTGGGAGCAATTGCATCAGTAGCTGCAGCAACTCCAAATGTGAGTTTAAATAGAAATCTGCATGTCCCTCATGAGTGTCATGCAGGTTTTGACAAAAATTGGTTTACTCGAATGTTTGGCCGACTCGAATCGGGATGGGACCCATATGATTCAGATTACCGAGCATCGACAATACTGTCTTGGTATTTTGTAATTCTTCACTGAATCCCAATATTTGCAGCTGTTTTCAGCATATGGAAACATGTTAATCATTTAATTTTTATGATGAGTAAATTTTGTTACAATTCACGTAAAAGATGCTAATAAAATTCCTGGACTATTTCAGGCCACAAAAGTGCTACAAACATTTTGCATTAACGGCTTTGAAAAGATAGTTGTTGATGTAGTGGGAGAAGGCGGGAAACTGTGGATAAAGGTGAGTGTATTAACTTGTGTACGCGAGTCTTGACAGGCTATGGTCAAGGTCTAGTGAGTACGTGGAGTATAATGTCCTGTTATCATCATCCTATGCTCATTATACTCTATACTGTACTCATTATGATCCCAGCATAGTACAATTTTCATTCAGGTCCTGGACAAGGTCCAGAAGACTGGGCACTAATCCTTCAATGTTCTACCCTGTTTACATGGAAGTATTTTGGGACCTAGTTGTAAAGTGATTAACAGTCGTGTTCTAGGAAAAGCAATTTAAGTAAGGTTTCATTAAGTCAAAGACTTCTGTTGCTGCTGCTATTCCCTCTAGTGTAAAATGAATAGTTTATTATTCTCTTAAAATGCATTATTCTTTGTTCTTGATGTACAGTACTCCATGAACTCGTAACAATCATGTACTCATTCATATATATACTCATATGATCAAATATATCTAATTAATTTTGTAGGTTTGAGTACTGTACTAAGGAATTAAAGTGATGTTTGTCTTGCTTTACAGGTAATTAAGAGGAACCCTAAAGCTCTGCATTTGCTGTTCATTCTGGGCGGAAGGAATGGTGTCAAACCTATTGATGACGTTGCTGATGACTTCCTGATTTGTGCACAACACCACCCAGTTTTTTATTCAACCCCAAAGGTAAACATGATTATATAGACATGATACAAACAGTATCATATGATACTGATATAGGCCTATATAAAAACAAACAAGTCACGCGTCATTTTGACAAGCCCCATCATACATACTTTAGGATATCAAACCTTCCCATATTATACACATCATGTCAGAAATAATTACTCTATGTTCAGTGTCGCCAGTGTCTGTAGCGCTGGGTCACAGACACACCTCTGACAAATAAAATGTTATGTTGTTGAGAAGTATGTAGTATAGTATTATAATTAATATATATTTCAGATTGTGTTTTGGTTCTGTAGTGGAGTGAGTGAGAGTCTAGCAAGAAGTCTTGAAGACAAAGGTGTAGAAATTAAAGGAGAAATAATACCCGATCACGAACTAGGGCTGCCCGACTATGTGGAGGAAGATTCGGAGACAGAAAGTGAGAACTCTGATTCTGAGTATGAATATTCAAGTGATGAAAGTAACTATATCAATGAAAATAAAACCACAACTACTATTGATTGCAGTGTAGCAGTTGAAGGGGAAAGTCAAATGAAATTTATGGATCTGAATGGTGAATTTAATAATACATATGTCAAGCAGAAAGTGAGTGAATTTGATGACAGCTCATTAGAAAGTGTAGAGTCAAATATGGTACCAGCATTGGACGAGGATTCTAGTGACAGAATTACAGTGATTAGAAAGATAGAGAGTTGTCAAAGTTCTGAAGTAAATGCAACAATTCCAGCTCAAGTCCAAGATTTGAAAGTCCAAAATATAACGAGCAAGGATGAAGAAGCAATAAATAAACTTAATCTTGATGTAACAGCAATGATTGCTTATGTAACTGCAACAACAAATGGCAGTGCCAATTTTATTTTTAAGGACAGATTTCTTACAGAGCAAGCAGAGTGTGAAAGAAACAATCCAGTAAAAAAAACTCTTGAAGATTACTTTAAAGGTAAGAAATAGGTTTCTATTTTATCTATTAATGAATATTTGTTAAATGGTTGGTGGGAGACTTGTTACATCAGCCAGACTTGTGTTTTTGGGCCTCGTGTGTATCTTTTAATGTTGCCATCTTGAAGGAATGACTTCAGGTAGCATCTTGAAGGAATGACTTCAGGTAACATCTTGAAGGGATGGCTTCAGGTAGCATCTTGAAGGGATGGTTTCAGGTAGCATCTTGAAGGGATGGCTTCAGGTAACATCTTGAAGAAATGACTTCAGGTAGCATCTTGAAGGGATGGCTTCAGGTAGCATCTTGAAGGGATGGTTTCAGGTAGCATCTTGAAGGGATGGCTTCAGGTAGCATCTTGAAGGGATGGCTTCAGGTAGCATCTTGAAGGGATGGCTTCAGGTAGCATCTTGAAGGGATGGCTTCAGGTAACATTTAAGTAATATAAGTTTGAGTTCCATTGTCCCCAGTTTTGACATTTTATGGAATAAATATATTGGGTCATAACAAAATTACTTGGGGGTTCAGACATTTTTTATTAATATTTCTTTAATGTTTTTATTAATTGTTTCAAGATTCAAATATGAGCCTTGGAGTCATGTAATTTGGTGTGTTCAAGTAAGCTAAAAACGACTCGGTTTGCTCCCTTAGGCATTATGCAGCTTTCACAAGGATATGTCATCACACTTGCTGGGCCACGATTCACTCCCTCGTGCAGCGAGGGACTTTTCAAAATGCTTTCGTTGGGGCATTAATAGGGAAAGGTGAGACACCGGAGGCTTCTTTGTCCAGCCTGGAAGAACCACATGAAGATTCATTCATAAACACTCAAAATCTAGCTCAAAGTTATTTTCAGCCTTAAATAGACAGTGAGGTATCTGATAATTAGTAGTTGACCACCTGGCTAGCGTAAAGTTATCCATAATCAGGCATTCATAGGTAAATAGATGCTAGCGCCTAGAAAAATCCATAGTGCCTGCACTAGCGTACGGGACAAAGCCACAAAAATGTCAGCTCTGAATATATTGTGGTCGAGTCAAATATTGAAATACAAAAGGTAACCAATATAAGTCCTCGTGTAATGTACCATTGAACTGTGGGATTCCTGGTGCTGATTTCCAGATGCCCAGAAAGTTGAACATTTGGAACCAGGTATGCTATTATTGAAGTGATGCTTAATGCTTTTGAAATTAAGGGCAGTATAATATAAGCGGATGCCTTCCCTCCTATGTGGCTCCATTCATGGCTACATGGCCCCAAGGCTTTCACGGTGGATGCCTTTTGACTGGACTGGTCGAGGTAGTGATGCATTTACCTTTTTTTCCGTGGTTCACTTATTTCTCTGGGTGCTGTTCAGATACCAAAATGTATACCAAAACCATCAGAAATTTCAAACATTAATATGAAGATTATTATAAGGAAGATAAGACACCATGAACTTGGCTCTCATCCTGCAGCTATTATTTTGTGTTGTAATTACACACATCTTCAGTCTCTTGTTCAGAATTACATACCAAAACCTATCATTATTTCATGTCTTTTAATTTATTTGTATTTATTCATATGCAATTAGGTACAATGGCTTGTTAAAGTACATTCTTGCAGTATGTGAATGAATAGTACATTCATGCACAGCCATTAGCACAGTATTTTGGGAAGGTCCTTAAGCTAACAGATAAGCATAATGATAGGTACATTGTAACAGAATTTGAATACACATGATAACAAACATACATATAGAGAGAAAATGAAATTATAGTGAAGTTGCATTTGTACTTTGTAATATACTGGGTGAGTGGGTAGCACAAAATATATACAGTGCTATGTGAGTTGATAGCACAAGGTGAGTTAATATGAAGGTGAAATTAGGTACTTTATATTTATACTTTTGAATAAAGTATAGGTTAGACAATAGTTTAAGCATTCATAAAAGCACATATTATAGGTAATAGATTTGAGTTGTAAAATTATTTGTGATACTGTACTTTGCTATTTATTATGATAATCAGTATAAATACTTTGTAAAAAATCTTGAAAGATTTTATTACTCCTGTCGAATTTGGTTAGAGCATAGTTGAGGTCACTGAATATCTCATTACCCTACTTCATTTACTATTGGACATGCACATAGCCCATTTCTTGGAAATACTGTACATCAATGACATTTAATTGTAATTCATTAATAAATCCTCAGGACGAGAACTACTCGCGTGTCAAGAGGCTGTTAGTCACTTTCTTGAGATTGTCAATACTATTGGAGGAGCAGGTGAGAAAGCCCGTGCTCAAGAACTGGTAACCAGGCTAAGAATTGTTAAAGGAGAAGATTACTTTAAGGTGATTATTTTATAATATTGAAAGTGTGATTTTAGCATTGATATACTGTAGTTAATATATTAATATTGTGTTAAGTTTCATTCTTAGATTCTTTGTAAATTTAATTTCAAAATATATATCACAAATGATGCCTTTTCCGCAGGATAAGTTGAAACTTGGAGGCAGAGTGCGTGAACTTTCCAGGATCATCTTTGGCACAGGTCACGTTCACAGGGCTATCACTGTCACGTCTAATGGAGGATTTGTTAGGTCTACTGAACATCGGGTATGTAAAAGAATTGTTTTTTCTGCCACTGTTAAACGACAAACCCATATTAGTACAGTAATGAGGAATGTGGAAAAATCTGACAAATAAACAATTATATGGAAAGAAACCTAAGATACTATCCAATTCACAGCATCAATTTCACTGGAGTAGCGATGAAAATTTTTATATAGCTAGAGATATATTCAAGAGCCAAGAAGACTTCGGAATTATTTAGTCTATAAGAGAGGAGCGGTTAAGAGTGGGACAAGACCCCAAGAATATTTTAATGCAATGAGTGTTTAAAAATTATGGATCTCTTTAAGCTCCTTCACTTCTGGACAGGAATCGAGGATGTAGCAAGTGTTTTCCCTCTGGATCACCATACTGAGGCACTGAAATAAGAAACTGGCAACCCCTGGGTCTCTGGTGATGTCAACGACCCTAGAACCCAATTCTTTGAGAAATCCCAAGGCTTTCCTTTCCCAGGGGCTGAGCATCTCGGATGCTATGGGAACAAAGGTGTATCGAGTTTCCAATCACCTGTATTTGACTGATTTTGCTATTTTTCTGTGGTTGGCTGCCCCACCTGCTTGATCAGCACTGAAGTGTATGTAGGTGTCAGCGAGGGTGGGTACACATGTGTAGTCCCACACCAGCTGTTTGCCCTTCTTCCAGGGGTATAGTGTGATGTCATCTGGGCGAAGTGTGGGGTCATCTGGGTTTTGGCCTACTAGGATGCGAGGTTCTCTCTGAACTGACGCAAGGCTCTTCTTGATGATGTCATTAATCTCGTTGTATCGTGCATGCCAGCCCTTGGAGCTTCTGCAGTCCAACCCATGCAGTCCATATTGGTCTCCTTCAACCTTTTGCAAATACACTTGTATTCAGTGTGAATTGAGGCACCAAAGCAGAGGGCCACTGCTACACCAAGGGATTCTGGATCTAGATGCGTGCCTGTTGCTGACATTGGTTCTGCCAGAAGGAAGTCCCCTGCATGGGGGGCAGGCACTGCTCTGAAGCAGGCTTTGTCCTTATCTGATGTTTTAGCGCTGAGCATGGCATCGGGTATTTTTTCCACTAGTGAGTGGTCCCAGATGGACTGTTTGTGTTTTGTTTGATCTATGCAGGGTGCTGGGGCTGCAAGAGCATCACACTGATTTGAACATTCGGTGAAAGCAGGATCGTGTATTCCTGCTGAATCATTCAGGTTCTGGTAGGATATCTCACGAGGTCGTACGATACATGGGAGGATGCATACGGAGGATGCGTACGATGCATGGTAGGAGAAAGGGACTGGTAGAGCAATCTGTGGGGTATGTGGACACCAAGGCTGCCAAGTCTTAAAGGGAGGGTTGCTTGTTTTCATTGAGAGTTGTCCAACAGAAGGTTCAGGACTTTCTACAATATGGACCGCAGAAGGGTGTCATACTCATTTAATTTAGGGCTGCTGTAGGATGGAGAACACCTCAGAAAGTAAGTCATCTTAGGGAGAGACAAATAGACCTATTTATTGGTATATATAAAAAATCTTTTATTTATACCAATAGATATACTGAAAACTTTCCTCCTTATTTCTTGTAAGGAGAAAGAGAGTATCATGGGCATCAATCTTGTCAATCCTGTCCAGCCTTCTCCTTAGGTTAGTGATTTTTGCATCTAGGACCTCCTCGATTGCTTGCAGGCCAATGAGGGCACCCAGGAGGCTGCAGTCAGGTGGCTTGACAATGATGTCTGTGTGGGGAGGGGGAGACTATTTTACATTTGGATACATTGAGAATGAGGCCCAAGGCTGCTGCTTGCTCCTGGATTTTACTTATATCCTCCAAATGGTATCTGGGATTCCAGCGAGGGTGCCATCATCCAGGTACCCTATGTTTAGCTTGCTTACCAGACTGTTGGTGACCTCTTTGATATCTTAGCACAAAAGGAGGGGGCTTAGGGATCACCATGTTGAATTCTTTCACAGAAGTCTATTTCATGCTCTCCAAAAAAGAAGCTTGAGTCCCAACTGCAACACAATTGGATGAATGGGTAAAGGAGAAGGAAATGGTACAGCCTTTAGGACAGTGTCTCTTCTGACTTAAGGCATTTTTAAAGTCGAGCATTACTAGTGCCTTCTGGTCCGAGATATTAGCAATGTAAGCATGTGCTGCAGCTTCACATCCTAGGGGGGATCGCAAACCCGTGCTGATTAGATTTCAGTAAGGTGGCTGCTTCCTGGCTAATTGATCTCGCTGCAGCCTTAGCTATGAGGCGTCGGAGGGTGTTGCTAATGACAATGGGCCTGATTTCTCCATCCTTTTTCAACAGAGTGCTGCTCCATAAAAGAGAGGCCTGATGTCCTCAGGGATGCCATCAGCCAAACACACATTTTAGAATCTGGTAAGTTCCACTAGAAGGAGCTTTGTGGCATCTCGAAGCACTGGGTTCAGCATGTTTGATGTGCTGGGGTCTTAGGCCTATGAAGTTCCCCGCTGAACCTGTTGGGAAAGACATGGCTGCTTTGTACACCTCAGATTCTTGAACAGTTAAGAGTTCTATGCCAGTAACATTTTCCTGGATATCCCTGCTACTGTCTGAAGCTCAATATGGGTGTTTGTCTTGTAGAGCCTGTGCTGTCGTGGCGTTCCTGGGGGCAATAGTGTTATCGCTGGTTATGATTCTGAGTGCACCTGTGGTATTGCCTTCTATTTTCTTGGTGATCTGTGATCTCATTTTGTGGTTCTCAGGTGAGCTATTATACATGTACTGTATAAAATATGTATATGTATAGGGGGGTACCACCACTGGTTGCATTTGTAGGGACCCTCGAAGAAGAGGATATGTAGAATCCCGGGGAGCCTTGTGGGGCACCCACGTACTCACATATTGTCTTCTGCCACCCCATATATAATATGTATTTTATTGTATATATGTGAACTACCATGGTAACACTAAGAGGCGCTTCATTTCATTCATTATATTTTTTCCCCAGGGTGTCAAGGTGGCAGTATTGTACCATAAGCCTCGTGCTCTTACAGAGGCTAAGGAGGCTACTGCAACACCACTATAGTGTAGGTAATGAAAGATGTTTATCGCTCACGTACTACTTCATTAAGTGACTATTAAGATACAAAACAATTCTTGTTATCATTAAAGGTTTTGGAAGCAGTAGCTCTGTGCATAAATATAGCTAAAGTTTTAAAATTAGGATGGAAATGTTCTAATGGTTACATAAAATATTAATCAGTGGTGGGTAGTTGTGGGACTAAAGTTTAAGTAACAGAAGTTAACTAAAGATGATTTATGTTGGTTGAATCACAAGAGGGATAAAACTTATTTGTGATATTTTCTCAGGCAACATTGTTAGAGATGGTTTTTTTAGTTGGAAGTTAAGTTAAACACAGCACAAAGTACTGATTGTGATATAAGAAACAGCAGAGTTCTCTACAAAGTTGCTACACAGTAGTTAAAGATGATGCATGAAATGTAAGATTTGATAAACGTTCTTACAGTCAGTGTCACATCTTCAATGAAGTTTCTTTTCAAATTTGTATACAGTACAGTGCAACCTCAATTATCAGAACCAATTGGTACCTCTGGGTGTCCAGATAAAGGTAAAAGTTTGTGAGACACATGTTTTGACATTTTTGGTTATTTCGGTACATTTTGTTTATCTTTTGTTTGTTAATATGAATGCACCAATGTATATGATGGAAAACAATAAAATTGTTGGTATTATTTAGTATAAATAAGTATCCTTGAATGCTGCATCATGCTGATACTTCAGCAAGATGACCCAAAATACTCGCACCCACATAAAAGTGGTCAAGAAGTGGCATGCAGGCTTCGTGAGGGATTTAGCCTGGGTTTGTATCCTGACTGGACACCAATCCTTGACTAGCCTCTGTTCAGCCAGCAGTGGATGGGTACCTAGCTGATAATTGATTTGGCAAGTCGTATTCCAGGGAAAATTAGGATTAAAGACTCGCCTAAAATGCTCTGCGTGCTAGTGGCTGTACATTAATGTAAGAATTTTTGTGTATATGTGTATATATATATATATATATATATATATATATATATATATATATATATATATATATTTAATTAATTTAGGGGTACCACCACTGGTTTAATTAAAGGGACCCACATCCTCGAAGAAGAAAATAGTGTTAAGAGAAGTCCTTGTGGAGTTTCACTGAATACTTTAATCTTTTCCTCTCCTACCACCCCTATTATTATTTTTTTTTTTATATTTTTTATTTGATTTTATTGCAATTGCTACAGTTTAAAGAACACACACACTTATATAACAATCAGTGTTCGAAGACCTTGTCCAGCTCTTCGAAGGTCGTGTGCGTACCCAAGATACAGCACGCATTTCCCCTCTGAACAGCGACACTCGGGCGCTGGAACATAAAATTGGCCGCTCTTGGGTCTCTAGTTTTCCCAATGAGTTCCTCGCCCACCTTCAGGAACTTAGGTGCACATTTACCCCAGGCGCCCAGAGTCTCAGAGCCTATCGGCACGAACCTGTAACATAAATATATATATAAAAATGCTATATATTTTATATATATATATATATATATATACACACTATATATATATATATATATATATATATATATATATATATATATATATATATATATATATATATATATATATAATATGACGGTAAAGTGTTGGTGTTCGGCTGTTTCAAAAGCTAGGGGCAGGGCCTCGTCATATAATCAAAAAAAAAAAGAGAAAAGTTGGTCCTTTCGTCTGTGGTAAGGTAATGGGAAGACACACAAAACACAAGTATATAAACAATGAAATTTTAATTACTCTAGAAAAACAAGACATGAATAAAGTTAATTACATAAAAATATGAAAGACAAGTCAATAAACAAAATAATATGAATAATCACTGGCAAATGAAAAGTTACGTTAAGACAAGTAAGTTACAGTGATAGCAAAATAAAATATTAGTGGTGCTTGAATACTGGCTTCGAGCTGCCACCTCCCTTAGTACACGAAAGCCAAGGCTTAGTCTACCAGCGAGAGATGTCAACTGCTTGGAGCACTGAGATATTCTGACGATACTGGCGCACTGCAGCCCAGACGTCGACTTGTGGCGGAGGCGGAGGGCAGGTGCGACGAGACACCAGCCAATCAGTGACAGGCAGGCAGAGGATGAGCAGTTTGCTGGTTACGGCGGTGGTAGCAGGTGTCACGGTGTGCTGGATACGATTTGCTCTCTGGGCGAAACGTTTGGCGATACTTGGTGGACGTATCTTCTATATTATCTTGTATATTTACGTACTTATGTAGGGAAGGAAGAGCAGGCTCAATCTCTCTTGAAAGAGATTATCGTCACAATATATATACTGTATATATATATATATATATATTATATATATATATATATAATATATACACACACACACTCACACACACTCACACTCACACTCAGTATATATAATATGTATGCAGGCGATGAGTCACAATAATGTGGCTGAAGATATATGATGACCAAACCACGCACCAGAAGAGGAGACGACGATGTTTCGGTCCGTCCTGGACCATTATCAAGTAAATTTAACACAATCGACTTGAAAATGGCCCAGGAGGGACCGAAACGTCGTCGTCTCCTCATCTTCTGGTGTGTGGTTTGGTCATAAAAAAAATATATATCATATATCGCATATCACAGAGATCACATTAACGTGATGTATAATGAGAAAATCAGTAGGAGGGAGGGCATGCGTACCCAGGGAGCCACAACAGCACGAGGGAGGGCGTGTGTACCCAAGAAGTATCACCGGAAAAAGTGATGAACAACTTGCTGTGACGTAAGAGAACAAATGGGTTTGCTGACGCGATTTTATAATTAACGATTTAAGCTTAGTCTACTGATACATGACACTGGCTCTCTTTAAGCTTAGTCTACTGATACATGACACTGGCTCTCTTTAAGCTTAGTCTACTGATACATGACACTGGCTCTCTTTAAGCTTAGTCTACTGATACATGACACTGGCTCTCTTTAAGCTTAGTCTACTGATACATGACACATGACACTGGCTCTCTTTAAGCTTAGTCTACTTATATAGAGCATCGGAATTGTTTTAAGCTTAGTCTACTGATAGTGCTGCCGGCACTGTTTAAAGAGTGCTTGTGCTGTATAAGTAGAGTTAGCTTAAGCAGTGCTACTCCAGGGGAAGCAGTAGTATGTCAGGGGGTACTTACGACCACCCCAGCTCCTGAGGAAGGAGGGCTGGGAATGATATAATCAGGGCTATTATATCTCTGATATAATAGACCTGATCGTCAAGACCTCGTTAGCACGCTAACAATAGGTTCACTTACTGTCCGTGCATAAGGACTTGCCTGCAGTTGCTTCACGTAGTCTGGGACAGGATGTCTGTTGGTCTCATTGAGGTCTTCCTAGGCCAACTACTCCCCTTCCCTAGGATGCAACCCACAATTGCGTATGTTGTTGTTATAGATTCAGCTATTTGGAACAAGTTCCAAGTAGCACGGGCTATGGTGAGCCCGTAGTGGACTTCCCTGGCACAGGAGCGGTGCAATTGCGTAAATCCCAGGTGCTTATTTACTGCTTGTGACCACAGGCATCAGGTGGAAGGAAACGTTGCTCAAACGTTTGTCCTGTAACGGTATTGAGCCTCCAGATCACAAGTCTGTTAGTGTAGGAGGGTTGTAGCTACTTCGTGACCACTGCCATCTTGCACCAACACGTGACTGTGATCGCCATCAATTATAAAACCAGTCATGGGATGGATCACGCACTCATGGTTTGAGACAGTGCTAGTAGGACAACATCTTAACTATCGCCCCCTCCTAGAGTCCTCGACACTTCAAAAGATAGCTCTTGGTTCATTCAATACGCGAGGCTTAGAAACCCCGACATGATGTAAACTCCACTCCTACGTCAGGATACGTTCCATTCCAGTTTACCTTCCTGTCTTCTTGAAAACTATGTTCTGAATGATTCCCAACTTCCGATCCAACCTCATATAATATCTATTTTAATCTTTGAAGAGGTGATATGCTTAAACGATCGCGCTGGTTGTTGATGGGACAAAGAGATTGTGTTTCACTTTGTCTCAAATTTGGTGTCATGTATTGCCAGACTATGTTGTCTAAATTTTGATAACTAGTATGAGTATGCGTGACTGTGTTTTCATAAAGACAAAATTTATAAAATATGGGGCCTGTGTAATTTTCCAAGGCTTATGCAAATACTGTCTCGGCTCACAACACATTAAGATTAATGAACTTGAGAAAAATTAACGTAAATAATGTTGAGTGCAACTCTGATGGGGTCGAGTTCTCCAAATACTATGCCTCTTGGGAGCTGTTGTTTTACATTCAGCTACTTGGAACAAAAAGTTCCAAGCAGCACATATGAAAGTATGGTGAGCCCGTCATACTTACCTAGCACAAGAGCTGAGGCTTGGGAGCTCTTGGCAGGACCAGCGGGCGAAACGAGTCCGGAAACAAAACCGAAGTCCTTGGTCTGTGTTGTTTACGTCAATGGTGTTCCTGAGGTGAGGCCTGTGTGACTCACATCCTGCAGCTGGCCCAGCTCTCGCCCTCCTGTCTTCACTCGTGTTCTCCTCACCTCAGTCCACCACTGACGCTTGCCGCTCCTCGCCCTCGACACTGAAAGTAGCCAAGTAGGGTGTTGACTGGCGGTGCGTCGCATTCTTCCCGAACTCGTCCCAATGGAGAAGAAAACGACAAAGTTCAGCGCGTCACATACGATCTATTTGAAGATTTTATTACTTTGTATAATGATGGGTATTCCGCTTGTAAATTGCCAATTGTCTCGTGATATTCTGATTAGCCAGCTACAAAAAGAGCAGCAGGAAAGTCTTGCCTCTGGCAGCATTAGTGAAGAAGGGTACGACACAGATCTGGCGATGAATGTCTTAAGTCTTTCCAAACATAAGGTCAGAAGCAGGAGAGAAACTGTGGAAAATTGTTCTGAAGTTGAGTCTCCAAGCGGATCGGGGCTCCATAAGATTAAAGAAGTCCGGTTGTCCCAGTATAGATTCTTCATCAAACCAGACCCCGAATTTCGTGAACTGGTGTTCAACATGGTGATTGATAACATTTGGAACATCAATGATCCATACATGTCACCCGAGAACCTCGTCATTAGAAAAGGGGAATTGGAGACTGACTCTGAGGACTCGTGGCTGGAGGTCGAAGTACAGTACTACAGACACGTGGTCACCTACGGGAAAGACAGACACGGACTGCGAGTGACAGTGGGAGCCCTGACTAGGACCATGTACTCCAGACGGTGGTGGCGGACCCACAGCTTCGAGGGCTTCGTCATCTCTGTACGAGGACCATCTAAGATGCTGTTCGACTGCTACACTTCAGACTTTTCCAAGCTTCTGCCCATTAAAGCGGAGTATCGTCTGGTGTTGCTGGGGTGTATATTGAGCGCGGTCTTCCTGCTGGTGGTGGTGTTGACCTGGGTCTACATTGTCATCAGCAGACGACGACGCCTTGCCAGTAACCACGCCCCACCGGTCCCTCCTGCAACAAAGTCTATGGTAAGCAAAACATGAATGTGTTGCGCATTGAACTATATTGAACTACACTTGATTGATAAAGATTGAATTGAACTATAAATAACTACACTTCGTCCCAGTAGGCATATATAATCTCGGCCAGACGAGTCGAAACTTGTCAGTCATAAATAATGCTGCCCTGAGGGTTGGCTCTTGGGGCTGCCCTGAGGGTTGGCTCTTGGGGCTGCCCTGAGGGTTGGCTCTTGGGGCTGCCCTGAGGGTTGGCTCTTGGGGCTGCCCTGAGGGTTGGCTCTTGGTAGTCCTTCTGTTTCTCATTTTGAATAAGTCCTCGTTGTTAACTGTGTCAATTCCCTTAAATATCTTGTACTTTGTTATCATATGCCCCGTGTTTCCTCCAGTGTGGCGAGGTTGAGTCTCTCCAGCTGTGGTTTAGTCGTCTTAATTGTGGAACGAACCTTGTAACATATCTCTGGAACTCATCCAGAAATCTCATTCTGTCTCATCCTGTCATTCATGACTGGGGCTCCAGGCCGGAACTAGAATCTTGATGTCGGGTCTTACATTATTGTATAGTATCCCGCGGGTCTCCTTCCTTCCTTCCTTAGGTTCCTGAAGGCTGTGTGGACATTTGCCAGTGTGGTGCCCGCCTCCGTGTAGCGTATCTGTGTTTCCAGCACCATGCTGGAAATACTTCGAAGTGATGGTGGCCTGTAGTTGAGGGCTCTTGCTTTCCTTCTTGGTGTATTTTTAGCATTATATCTTTGGTAATTCACTTATTTGCAGTGAAGAGTTTAAGAGGACGTCAAGAACTCTACTCAATCGGCCCGATACCTCTTTCAGCACCTATGGTGTGTTGCAGTCTTCCTGGCTTGATGTCTTTTGGTAATTGCTTGTGTGTCTGGTTCATAGTTGTGACCTCCAATTAAATATTTATCTGCTTCTCTTCTAGTCCCTTTGTACTCATTCACTGCTCTTTTGTATTTGTATATGTGTAAGGCGCGTAATGTTCACGTTACAATTGTCTTCTTCAAGTCCATCCCGCCCACCCCACCTGCGGCGCCCCACGCCCGCACACTCTTGCCAGTGCTTCCTTACGTCTCTGCGGCTCATCTCTTTTATCAGTGTTCACCGGTACTCACCTAGTTATGCTTGCGGGGGTTGAGCTTCGGCTCTTTGGTCCCGCCTCTCAACTGTTACTCAACTGGTGTACAGGTTCCTGAGCCTACTGGGCTCTATCATATCTACACTTGAAACTGTGTATGAAGTCAGCCTCCACCACATCACTGCCTAATGTATTCCATCTGTTAACTACTTTGACACATGAAAAAGTTCTTTCCAACGTCCCTGTGGCTCATTTGGGTAATAAGTTTTTTATTAAGAAAAAAATTAACACATTTCTGGATTTAAGTGTTCAAATCCTGGGTGGGACAGACATGGTTGAGCGCATTTCCTATCAACTAATGTTCACCTAGTTCATGTGTTCATTACACCTGTGTCCCGTGTTCGTGTACCACTCGTACTAAATAGTTTGTCTTTACTCTGTCAGTTGCTCTTTGAATTTTATAGGTAGTGATCTATAGTGATAGATCACTACCTATAGCTAACTATTCTGTAGTTAGTCTAACTAGTCTCCCCTAGCTAACTATTCTGTCTTCCAGTGTTGTGTGGTTCAGCTCCAGTAATCTTTCCTCGTAGCTCAGTTCAACCCCTTGGGGTGGACGGTAGAGCGACGGTCTCGCTTTATGCAGATCGTTGTTCAATCCCCGACCGTACAAGTGGTTGGGCACCACCATGCCAACGGCCATACCACGTTGAGAACACCGCTTCTCGTCCGATCAGCGAAGTTAAGCAACGTTGGGTTTGGTTAGTACTTGGATGGGTGACCGCCTGGGAACACCAAATGCTGTTGGCAATAATGTTTTAGGGAGCCGGTCGACCGAGCGGACAGCACGCTGGACTTGTGATCCTGTGGTCCTGGGTTCGATCCCAGGCGCCGGCGAGAAACAATGGGCAGAGTTTCTTTCACCCTATGCCCCTGTTACCTAGCAGTAAAATAGGTACCTGGGTGTTAGTCAGCTGTCACGGGTTGCTTCTTGGGGGTGGAGGCCTGGTCAAGGACCGGGCCGCGGGGACACTAAAAGCCCCGAAATCATCTCAAGATAACCTCAAGATAACCATTCCTTCCCCTCCGTCCCATCCCAAATCCTTATCCTGACCCCTTCCAAGTGCTATATAGTCGTAATGACTTTGCGCTTTCCCCTGATAGGCCCCTTAGCTCGAGGACTAGACTGGTGGCATACCTTTGAACCTTTTCTAACTTCGTTTTGATTGACTAGATATGAACTCCAAGCTAGAGCCGCATACTCCAGTATTGGTCTGACATATGAGGTATACAAGGTTCTGAATAATTTCTTACACAAGTTTCTGAAAGTAGTTCTCATGTTCGGCAGCCATGCATACGCCGCTGATGTTATCCTTTTGATGTGGGCTTCAAGGGACAGGTCTGGTGTGATACCAACCCCCAGAACTTCTCTTCTTGACTCCTGAAGGAATTCTTCACTGTTATTGTATGCTTTATTCTTCTTTACTTGTAAACAAACATTTATTTTTATTATATTTTGTCTATTCTTCCCGGTATCTTATACGTCTGAATCATGTCTCCTGTTGGTCGTCTCTCCTACAGTGTATGAGACTCAGTTTTCTTAGCCTGTCATCGTAGCTCAGGCTTCTTATTTCCAGAAGCTATTTGGTTCTTCAAAATTTTATTTTTATTTTTGGTAGTGTGTTCAGTGGTGGCGCAACATACTCGGCTACTGGTCTTACGCACATTGTAAATAATGTTTTCAAAGGATACTTATTTATATTTCAAAAGTATGTTCTTGTGTCCGCTAGTTTTGAGAACGTTGATGACGTTATTAAAAACTTACGCGCATTTCCGGTCAGAGCTTCTTGTGAGATAACCGCCCTGGCGTTCTTTGTGTGTGTATACACCTATTAGTGCTTGCTGGGGTTGACCTCTGATCTTTCGGCCCGCCTCTCAACTGTCAATTAATCAACTGTTATTAACTACTAACTAACATTTTTCACAAACACACCCCTAGGAAGCAGTCCATAACAGCTGTATAACTACCAAGTACCTATTTACTGCTAGATAACAGGGGCATCAGGGTGAAAGACACTACCCATCTGTTTCCGCCGGCGCCGGGAATCGAACCCAGGCCACAGGACTACGTATCCAGCGTGCTGTCCACTCTGCCACCAGCGCCTCTGTGTGTAATTAAATGTAGTTACAGGATGAGAGCTACGCTCGTGGTGTCCCGTCTTCCCAGTACTCTTTGTCATATAACGCTTTTGTGTGTGTGTGCGCGCGTGGTATTCATTTGTCTTAGCGGTATTTGTTATTATATATCACTGAGCGCACAACTGACGCTGTCGTTCTATCCACAGCTGCTGTGGCGGAGCCGGGTGAAGAGCGACCCCGACCCTGTCTACGAGGAGTTCGGGGAGGACACACTGGCTCGCCTCCGTCAGAAACTCGACCCCCAGACCTTCGGCAGCTACAACGCCACCTCGGGAGCCTCGTCCACCGACCAACACAAGAACCTTAAGGCCAACGCGAAGGAAGACGAGCCGGAATATAGACGTGATCATTACGATAATTTTAAGCCTCTCTCCCTCTTGGAGCAGAAGCAGAAGGCGTGGCTCGACGAGCCTCAGGGAGAACCCCCCGAAAGCCACTACGTGGAAATGCACGGTATAATCAACCGCAACTCACAGCTGGGGAACTGAAGCTCTCGCACTGTCTATTATGACGCATGGCGCGTCTTGCATTTCCCGACCCAAGTGTTCTTAGATGAACAGCTTACACATGTGTTCAACACACATGCAGTAGGTTCATTATTTAACAAGTGTTAATTCATTCGCTCTGTAAAGGTGTTTACGAGCACTCGCGGTCCTTTGAAGTCCGGATGACCGGCAGGTTGATATCAGTCTCAAGACTCGAGGTTCTTGACCAAAATGTGCTGTGGGACTTAACTCAGGTGTGGTGGGTGAGCTTGGGAGTGCAGGGTAATCCCACACCTGTCGCTGTGTGTGTGTGTGTGTGTGTGTGTGTGTGTGTGTGTGTGTGTGTGTGTGTGTGTGTGTGTGTGTGTGTGTGTGTGTGTGTGTGTGTGTGCGCGTGTGTGCGCACGCATGAAGGCTACCGTGCTTGCAGGAATTGAGCCTCAGCTCCTGGACCTCTCCTCCTGACCATATGTGGAGACCCACAATGTGCACATGGATGTGTGTACAGGTGTACACACATGAAACTATACTTGTATACATACTTGTGATTGTAATTATCATGCATCTCTGATGTGTATAATAATTTATGTACATATGTATAAAGAGAATTTGTCACATGCTCATCCTGTGAGTGGTAGTTTATTGTGCACCCCATACTCATCCTGTGAGTGGTAGTTTATTGTGCACCCAATACTCATCCTGTGAGCGGTAGTTTATTGTGCACCCAATACTCATCCTGTGAGTGGTAGTTTATTGTGCACCCAATACTCATCCTGTGAGCGGTAGTTTATTGTGCACCCAATACTCATCCTGTGAGCGGTAGTTTATTGTGCACCCAATACTCATCCTGTGAGCGGTAGTTTATTGTGCACCCAATACTCATCCTGTGAGCGGTAGTTTATTGTGCACCCAATACTCATCCTGTGAGCGGTAGTTTATTGTGCACCCCATACTCATCCTGTGAGTGGTAGTGCCTAATGGCCATGTTTAAACTACCGTAATAGGTTATCGGTTGCTCCTTGTGTAATCCTGTAATTACATTGTATAACCTAATTCTAACTGCATTGTTAATTGCACAATGTATATTTATACTGTATTGTATTTTAATTGCTGTATATATGTATATTAAAATAGTGAATGCTGGACTTGAGTCATTATATTTACACTATCTTTATATCGATGATATTTATAGTTTTTATCGAGAACGTAACATTATTATCTACAAGGATTGCCTGTTTATGTCTTAATTGAAGTTATGAGAAGTAAAATTTAGATCAGAGATACAATTTAAATCATGTGTTATTTATCAATAAATCACTTATTACGTGTAGCAATAATTTGAACTATCTGTATCTGTAAGAGTGACGTTGTTGTTGTTATTTTAGATTTAGTTACTCAGAACGAAGTGTCCATGTAGCACGGGCTATGGTGAGCCCGTAAAAAAAAGTAAGAGTGAATGTTCGTCTGTTTATGTCTGTCTGACGAAGGTTGGAGGTCTGATGCTTAGGACGTGCTTCATCCAACTTTGCAGGGAGCGCGGCTTGGGGGTACGGGACGGCCATAGGCTGGCCAGGGTAGGCCTAAGTAAAATGCTTTAAGAATTACGAGCATGCACTTCCAGGCATCACGTGCGAAATATTTAGTGTGTTCCACCTTGAGTTTTGAGTAATATATTTTCTGAGACAGTCGTTTCAGTGCTTCTTAAAGCTTCTGAGAAAGTGGGAGAGGGGAGGAAGAGGTGGAGGACGAGAGAGGGACCAGTGGGGAAAGGAGATGGGGTAAATAGGGGAAAAGGGTGAAAATTGTGGGGAGGGGGGGGGATGCGGGTGTAACTGGGTTCTCGTTCTATCTATAATAAAGTCAGTTTGTCCATCTGTTTATCTATCTGTTTGCCTGTCCAAGGTTGTCTGTCCCAAGTGCTAGAAAGAAAAGGAGACATGATAGGGACGTTTAAAATACTTCGGGGGGAGTGATATAGTGGAAAAGAGGAATTTGTTTAAATGTATACAAGAGAACAAGAGGGCATGGGTGAAGGCATGACGCAGATATGTTATAGAGATGTTAGAAAGCTTTATTTTAGCATAAGAGTAATGGGAAAATGGAATGAACTAGATGATCACGTTGTAGAAGAGTACCCCATTCACAATTTCAAAAGCAGATCGATGTGATAGAGAAACAGATCACAAGACATTACATTAGATAACCAGCTGCTTAAAAAAGGCGGGGTTCAAGAGCTAAAACTTGATCCTGCAGGCACAAGTATGTGAGTACACACACACACACATACACATATATGGGTGGTGACTCTACTTGTGTCTTAAAGCTCTTTAAGTACGCTTAAGGGTTTTCCGGTGATAAGAGAGCATTCAGGTGACGGAAAGTGTGACTTGCCTCACTGCCTCACTCTCTCTCACTCCGTCTGGGCGCTCCACAACCTCTAAATCATCTACATATGGTCAGCTGTGTCGCCCTCGCATACACTCATCCTATAATACAATCAACAGTAGATACATAACAGGGCAACAACAACAGGCTATTTTTATTTGTTTATTTCGCCATAATCAGTTTCTGACACACAAGTGAACTAGTTATTTCCAGTCATCACTAAGTTATCTCCCGAGTCATCACTAAGTTATTTCCTGAGTCTTCACAAAGTTATCTCTCGAGTCATTACTAAGTTATCTATCGAGTCTGTACAAGTTATCTATCTAGTCATCACCAAGTTATCTCCAGAGTCCTCGGCGAGTTATCAGGCGGGGTCCTGAGCAAGAGGCAGCTATAGCACCTCGCCAGCACTGACACCACCATCAGGCGGACACACACATGCTCGCCACAGTGTGTATACTACACATCACAGTGTGACTCTCCCACCACAGTCTACTCCACACTGTAATTCCTCGCGTTTCCTTTCAGCACGGCAGTTTATGTCATTTATTTAGTCTTTCCATTTGCGGGACACTTAGACCAATAGACGATTTCATTTACATAGTAGTAACCGATTTTGATCTTGCATAGAATATCGGAATATTGATTGTCAAGCTGCATTGATCCTAGGGGGACATTAAGCACGTCAGGCATCGTTGACTGAACGTTGAAGCCCAACGTGTGTCCGCTGACGATCTCATCGCTCTCCTGCCGCCGTTCTTGGCGTCAGAAGAGGCCGCCTCGGCTCATAATATTCCTACTGACGTTAGCTCTGATGAAGGAGAAGATGGCCATGAAGTTCTCGGTGTTGGTGGCCTCTGTGAAGCGGACGACGAAGTGGCGCCCATGGCGGAGGGCCACGTCCTTGTAGAGCCCCGCGATGAAGTCCCGACCCGTCAGCTCGTCGTCGCTGGGTCCTGCAGGTGCAAGTGTAGGGAGCGTGAAGTTTATTGAGGGGCGTGGGATGGAGGTTGAGAAGTAGGGGCAGGGGTAGATAGAGGGGCAGGGGTAGATAGAGGGACGGGGGGGGGGAGAAGAAAGGGGTGAGAATAGAGAGTCTTCATGCAGGCGATGAGTCACAATAACGTGGCTAAAGTATGTTGACCAAACCACACACTAGAAGGTGAAGGGACGACGACGTTTCGGTCCGTCCTGGACCATTCTCAAGTCGATTTGAGTAGTCGTCGTCCCTTCACCTTCTAGTGTGTGGTCTGGTCAACAAAGAGACTTCACTCCACCTCCACGACCTCATCCCACTCATCCTGCCCATGTTTTTGTTTTTATTAGTAAAGAAGATGGCGAACACAGATAAAGGTATAAGTTTACAAATGGAATATATAGTATGAGTTATAATAGCAGGTGGATTCTTCACCTAGTTCACAGGAAGTGTGTGTTTGGTAGCCAAGCTTGCTCTCTTTTGTTGTGTGTACCCACCTAGTTGTTGTACCCACCTAGTTGTTGTACCCACCTAGTTGTTGTACTCACTTAATTGTTATACTCAGTTGTTGTACTCACTAAGTGAGTTGCTGTACTCACTTACTAAGTGAGTTGCTGTACTCACTTACTGAGTTGCTTTACTCACTAAGTGAGTTGCTGTACTCACTTACTAAGTGAGTTGTTGTACTCACCTAGTTGTGCCTGAAGATCTTACGAGCAGATACACTGACTGGCTTACTGAAGATCTTACTCACCATCATAACTGGGGAAATAATCTCTGAGATTGTGGTACTGGATCTTCCTGTGGAAAATATCGGACTTGTTGAGGAGGAGTATGACCGGGGTGGCCTTGAAGGGGGGATAGTCGAGCAGGTCCTCGAAGATGTCCAGACTCTCCTCCACACGGTTCTTGTCCTGTGGGAGAGGTGAGAGGAAGGGCGGAATGTTAGAGGTCAACATGCAGAGCACCGCTCCTGTGCCAGGTAAGTCCACTATGGGCTCGCCATAGCCCGTGCTACTTTGGAAGTTTTGTTCTAAGTAGCTGAATCTAAAACAACAACAAAAGTCAATGTGAGACGGGGGAATGACAACTCAAATGGAACTCAACTCAAATGGAAGTCCTGGAAATGGAAATGGAATGAACTCAACTGAAATGGACAACTCAAATGGAAGACACACCAGGGGATGAAATCCACAACCCCACTAATATATTTATATACTTAAGTGCTTACATTCCAAGCAAATAAAAAAGTCAAAGGGGTAAAAAGAGAGACGACGGCCGAAACGTCGTCGTCTCCTCATCTTCTGGTGTGAGGTTTGGTCATCAAAAGCCAAATTGCTAAATCAGATTGTGAAGGAGTCTTAGGGGTCATAATTATCAGGGATCTTATTGAAAGATATGCCATTAATTCTCGAGAATTTCGACGTGCCATGCAAGAACATCTTGGAAGACGAACAAATCATTTTGTTCATGAGTTCATAATTATAATAATTAATTATTATTAATTGATAATTATAATTATAAATTATCATAATTGAAACAAAATGTCGAAGCATAAATGTTGGAAATAGTTAATATGGTACTATGCTTCATATCTAGAAGCCTAATATAAATTCTTATGTTATAGGTGAACTTTATCTTGTCCTTATGAGAGCCGGTATGGATTATGAGCACAGTTCCTGCCCCCATACTATACAATGTTAGTAAATGATAGCAATTAATCCCGGTCAGTAGAAACTTTCCTGTGAAAAAAAAGAGATGAACAAAAATTGAATTTACATTCCATACAAAAGCACAGATTGAAATGGAACATGATTCAGGTGGGGAAATGAACGAAAATAGTTTAACAAGGGGATTTAAATAGGGCTATGCAACCATTAATTAATGTAAACACAAAACAATGAATTTATATTGAACAAGTTTGCAGTATACACGGATACTTGTGAACACTGGTTGTGCAGTAAGTTATTAACATGTGGAACACGTTACCAGCAACATCATAGAGCAGCTTCACTGGAAACTGGCTTAAAGGTACTTGAGTAATTAATTAATTAATTAGTGAAGATTAAGCCACCCAAAAGGTGGCACGGGCATGAATAGCCCGTAAGTGGTGGCCCTTTTGAGCCATTACCAGTATCAAGAGCTGATACTGGAGATCTGTGGAGGTGCGACTGCACCCCTGCGTGACGGGAGATGTCTCCCGTGTACTTGAGTAAGAGTGGTTAGGTATAGAACCTACCTGTATAGGCTAATAGGCCTTCTGCAAATTCTCCTTTAATGATCTTAACTCATCTAGTGTGGAGGTGTGTTAGCAGCAAGCGCACACACTTGTAATCAACTCATCTAGTGCTCAGATGTGGCTGTACAATGCATACTCAGATCGGATCAATGTACCTGCTTCAGAGGCATTTCTGTATCAAGACATTAATGAACACAAATCACCTGCTTTTCTTCAAGACCAAAGATCACATTCACTCCAAAAAATCTACCACTTCCGGGGCTATTTATGCCCGCGCCACCTCTTGGCTGGCTTAATCTGCACCACTCACCTGCTCCTGTGTGTCTGCAGCAGATACATGGACATTGCCTGATCAACATACATGGTTTTACTGGTGTTTTACCAGGTATGTACGGCGCTTACCTCAGGCGCCTCCTCGACGCGCTGGTCATACTCTGAGAGGGAGGCGAGGAAGAGTATGGCGGTGGGGTCGTGAAGCTGGTTGACCCACTCACTCCGTTCAGGCCTCTGCCCTCCAATGTCGTGCATCGTCATCCTTATGTCGCCGAGATCATACGTGGACGTCACGGAGCCCCGCGTTGGGTACCGCATTCGCAATATGTCTTCCACGGTGGGTATGTAGTTCTCGTTGAGGATCCTGTCCGCGTGGCTAATGAAGTGTTCGGCATTAGACATGAGGTGGTACTCATTGCCTCGAAGATATACGTTCTGGACACCGGAGTCAGACCACAGCAGCCTCGTCTGCTCTACCAGCAGGGGGTCTATTGGGGCGTCCTCACGAAGAAATTCATCTAAGTGTTCCATGTCGGTGAACCTCTGAGCGGCAGCCTCAGTTTCAAGGGTGTCATAAATAATGTCGTAGTTGCCCATAGCGACGACAATCTTGTGTAGACTCTCTAACAGGTTGCGACGGATGTGGGGCTGGTGTCTGTCGGGGCGACAACCAGCGTTTATGAAAAGAACAAATAACGTGTATTCCAAGATTGTAAAAAAGTATATATGACGTACTAATACAGTACTTAAAAATAAAAGTGTTTCAAGAGTACATAAAACTTTGAATGTGAATTTTCATACGATACCATTCAGATCAGAAATAAATCATCTCTTACTTATGAAAGAGGCAGCTCTTTCTGACCTTCTGGGGACGTCGGGGGGGGGTACCCTCTCTTACCTTCTGCGGTCGTCAACAGGATACCCTCTGCCGAACACGTGCTTCATCTGCTTCATGAAGGTGGACTTGCCGGTGTCGGAAGCCCCCAGCACGAGCACCCGCGCTTCCTGCACCGGCGGCTGTTGCCCGGCACCCCACTGTCACGCCACACCGCACCGGAAAACATGGAAAAAGGATATGATTATTACTAAAAATAATAATGAGATAAAAAGTACCTTAGCATCGCAAAATAACATCCAAAATACACTAGCTCAGGGGTAGGCAACTTTGTTTTTGGGGAAACAGCAAGATGTGATCCAGCAGGACTAAGATTTGTAAACGTGATGATAAAAGTAAAAATAAGTAATTGTCAAAAGAAGGCACCAAGCTGGGAAGACTATTTAGCAGTCAGTGTTGCAGAATATTCGAAAGATGTCAAATACCACTCGGGATACCAACATGAGAACAAGGGGACGTGTGGGCGACATCAAAAATATCCGATTCCATATCAGATTGATTCCGATTGATTGATGAAGATTAAGCCACCCAAGAGGTGGCACGGGCATGAATAGCCCGTAAGTGGTAGCCCTTTCGAGCCATTACCAGTATCAAAAGATGATACTGGAGATCTGTGGAGGCGCAACTGCACCCTGCGTGACGGGAGATGTCTCCCGGACCAAGTGGTGACCAAATGGTGAGATTGATTCCGTAAGTCCATTACTTTAGAATTCAATGAGTTTGATTTTGAATTTGGAGGACATTTTTGTCTCTGCCTCATCAAAGGTAATGTCAAACAACTTGAAATTAGCCTTGTATGACTAAATGTAAGAAGGGCAGAATTCTAAATAACATGATAACGGCGACATATGCTAATGTGTATGAGTATATTTTCCTGCAGTGTAGAGAAGTGTGCAGAGGTCGGATATTCAAGCTGGCATTCCCAGAGATGAAGCTTCACCTCAAATGATACAATATGTTCATGAAGTCCTTTCACTGTAAATTGCGTCACTGCAGTTGCAAAATCAATTCACTTACGTGGGAAGTTTCCCGATTTGTAATAATGTTGCACACAGATCACCCTTAAAGTGATGTGTGTGTGCAACAGCGACCTCTCACCAGTGTGAGCGGCAACATTATAACACCTCACACACGGACCATATCAATGGACCGAAACGTCGTCGTCGTCCCTTCACTTTCTAGTGTGTAGTTTGGTCAACATATTTCAGCCACGTTATTGTGACTCCTCGCCTGCATATCAATGGAGCATCAACCTTGCAAGTGTTGTGTGACTTGCAACACTTGCAGCAAACCCGGGCTCGGGGATTTACCAGTTAATTAACTTATGTTATTTATAAGTAACTACCCACCGAAACCTGTGTCAACATTACCTAGGGCTACTTATTGGATATATACATATATTGGCTGGGATACCCAGCGTTGGATATTTTGCAACACATAAAGGGCTTTGATCAACTTGATCAGAGGACGAAACACGTATGACGAAACACAAACTGTATTTCTTTAAATAAAACAAATCGAGAACTCAAAAAACACAAAATTAAATTATTTCCCAATACTTTGATTCAATTCATAGTTGCTCATAACGAAGAATAATTAATGCACTGTTTTAGCACAAGCAAATATTGGACGTAGTAAGTATTGAAAACTATATATATATATATATATATATATATATATATATATATATATATATATATATATATATATATATATATATATATATATATTTGATTTCCAGCCTATTGACGGCGCAATCGCTCCTTCCTTAGCAACACTGCAGCGTTATTGCCCTTGGTAATACTGCAGGTTAACTCACCCTCCAGAAGGTGCCTGACTCACCCTCCAGAAGGTGCTTAACTCACCCTCCAGAAGGTGCCTGACTCACCCTCCAGAAGGTACCTGACTCACCCTCCAGAAAGCGTTTAACTCACCCTCCAGAAGGTACCTGACTCACCCTCCAGAAAGCGCTTAACTCACCCTCCAGAAGGCGCTTGACTCACCCTCCAGAAGGTACCTGACTCACCCTCCAGGTGCTGGAGCGAGCCCTAAACCAGATCCAGGGTCTGAGGCGCCGCAGGAACCCGACAAGGGCTCGCCACACTCTGTGTAAGGCAGACCTCCTGCGGGTGGCGTCACCGTCACTCCAGTTATCCTGCGGAAGGCGAAGACCATATTAACATACTGGCAGTTGGATGGAACTGTTTGAGGTCACAGTTATACTTAAAACAGAACGTGACTATACAGAAAATATTTATAAATACATAGCTTATGATTTACACACGGAGATAATACTGAAGTATGCAAATGAGATGAAATGATGTACCGAAACAGGCAACCTTCTGAAAGGGGAACATTGAGTAAGGGTGAAGGCCTGGCGATGAAGGCAGAACAAAGCACCTCAGGATAACAAGGCCGTTGACGCTCCACACCATAGTTGAAGTTTAATGTTACCTTAGGTATGGCAGGTGTTTATTTGCCACAAGGCACAGTAGTTTTCCGCCGGCAGGCGACGTGAACTAGCCGCCAGCAGGCTTTGGGCTTCACCCTTAACGGCCCGCATCCGGCACGTGTTGATTTAGTGGCGAGGACAGCACAACAACGGATATATATATGTCCACCACGCTTCTTGGTGCATATATACTCACAGTTTACCGAAGTTCTGAATTATATTGGGACTAAAGTTTACTTGTCGGTTAGTCAGTAGGCTATATTGTGTGGCCTTAATAAACGTCCCACGGGTTATAGATTAACGCTCAACACCAAACCAAAAGTAACCAGGCACAAAATAATAATATTTACATGATAGTCAGTGACTACCTAATCACCCGTAAAGGTTTTCTAATCTAACAAGCTGATGCTTCCTCTCGACAAAAAAAAAGGTTGACAATTAAAGACAAAACTCCAGTTTTGATAAATTCTTACTGGTTAATATGCAAAATGATTTTCAACATCTGCGCCATGGGTTCCTCCCCCTTTGGTGTCCTATTTACGAATTTGTATAAGGGAGCTATTGAGCAGAAAGACTTTGTTGACACAGACCAAAAACCTAACGTCTAGTGTAGGTATGTTGATATTCATGCAGGGAACTGATATTGAGCATTTGTTACAGTTTAATGATGCATTCGAGCGAAGTTCCGTGCTAAGTTTCACTGACGAGATGGAGAGTGAAGGTAGGATGCCTTTCCTATCACACCAACATAGGAATGTATCTTAATGTTAGTAGTGAATGGCCTGACAGGTACAAGAAAAGTCAATCAAGGGCAGCTAGCCGTGCTCTCACAGCTCCAGTTGGAAGCAGGTTGACGAGGAACTCAGTAGACAGGTCCTTGTCAATAATGGATGCTCTAACGGATATGCCAAAGATATATAAAAGTAAAGTGAGCCACCATGCTGCCTCTGATAAAACCGCCAACATCACAGTATCTGCCCCTCCTATTCTACAGCAGCTTCTTTTCCATGGCTCACAAAATGGAGGAAAGTCCTGAAAGATATAGATAGAAATATGATCCGTTCTCAAACCAACCAGAAGATTGGGTTAATAATATATAAGAGCAATTTTTTGTTTTAATTATCAGGGGAAGTGCCAAACCATTACGACTTCATAGCACTTGGAAGGGGTCAGGATAAGGATTTGGGATGGGAGGGTGTGAAGGAATGGTGCCAAACCACTTAGACGGTCGGAGATTGAACGACGACCTGCATGAAGCGAGACAGTCGCTCTACCGTCCAAAGTGACTGGGTTATATAAAAGCAAGATACAGTCAACTTGCTCATGAAGAACTCTTCCGATATAAGACCTTGAAAGAGACGATTGTTACCTTTGCCTTCACTTACCCAATTGTGACTGTCAGCCCCAACGATCTCAATATATAGACATGACAACATTTCTTTCACGGCGCCTGACAATGCACACACAGCACGACACCATTAAGGAACATGTAGTCTCCACACACAACCAGATCACCAGATATCCTGACAAACAGCATTGAAATAACAGTTACAACAACAGAATATTAGACGACGAAGCATTAGCTGGGCTATGCCACCTGTCAGTGCTCGGGAATACTCCGCTATCTGGGCTTTGTCACCTGCCAGCGCTGAGGATTACTACGCTATCTGAGCTACGTCGCCTGCTATACTCTAGTATATTATACCTGAGGATGATGAAAGCAAGAACATGACTGAACACTTACCGCCTCCATCCCTTCATAAGTATCACAGTCACCATGAAACTGGTGGGAAAAGTGGGCACTCCTCTTGCACACGCCCTTAATTACCTGCCACACGTGCCCAGGCCGGGACGGGCATGGTGGGGCACGGGCTTCACTACCCAGTTGGGCGAGAAGCTCCGGCGTACAGTACACTGCTCTGCAGGGGTCCGGCCAGAGGGCGGCCGGGACAGAGATAACGCAGGATGTACAGTTGCCAGATACGGCCCCTGACTCCTGTCTAACACTGCCTGGATTATGTCAGACACTACCTGCATTATGTCGACACTATCTGCATTAAGTTCGACATACATACATTATCTCTGACACTACTTGCATTAAGTCAGACACTACCTGCATTTTGTCCGACATTGCCTGGCTTATGTCTGACACTGCCTGTTGTTATTGTTGTTTTAGATTCAGCTACTATGAACAAAAAGTTCCAAGTAGCACGGGCTATGGTGAGCCCGTAGTGGACTTACTGGCATAGGAGCGGGGCTGTAACTGACTCTGCCTAGATTGTTCAACACCGCCTGAATTGTCCGATACTGCATAACTTTAAACTGGATCCCAACCCACATTGGAATTCAATTAAATGAGACACCTGGTGAAACTGCTAAATTAGCCAACTCTTTAATCAGTAAATTGTCATCCACACTTCCGTGGAGATAAATAATTATCAACAGGCACCAAGCCGGGAAGGCTATGTAGCACCATCAAATATTCTGGATAATCAGAGGGCGCTAAATATCACCAAGGATGCCGTGGGTATAAATATTCCATTCATCTGGGCTCTAGGAGACTCGAACCGTGGACCCCACACGTGAGGATGAAGCTCTATCGACCGAGCTATTGGGTAGTCTTAATAGGGAAACTTTCCTTATTGATTATTCCTAGGGTTTAGCTAGCCTTTTATACCGCAGCACCCACTTGTACAACTTTCAGTGAATGATGGGAAATTGACTCTAAGGTCCTTTTCTCATCAATCTGCTGCAAGGTAATAATGTTAATATGGTAGTTGTGACGTGGATTGGTGTCCCATATACAAGGTCTTCCACTTTATTTTATTTTAAAAAAACATCTTTTTAAATTTGTATAATTTCTCCCAAATAAATTTTTAAAATGTATTTCAATGTGATATTTGACATTTTCTTTAAGACAACACAACTCATGTTTTTATTGAGTATAAAAGCTCAAGGGGTAGGACAAATTCATGGGTAGAAACATGTATTAAAAGAAAAGTACAAGCAATTTTGATAAAATATTGAACTATGACAGGATAGACTGAGTGATTATATGTACTGAACCGTACATAGTACATAGTACATAGTACATAGCCACAACTGACGATGCACTGGGTGGCTATGTATACTGAACCATAACTGGATAGACTGGGTGGCTATGTATACTGAACCATAACTGGATAGACTGGGTGGCTATGTATACTGAACCATAACTGGATAGACTGGGTGGCTATGTATACTGAACCATAACTGGATAGACTGGGTGGCTATGTATACTGAACCATAACTGGATAGACTGGGTGGCTATGTATACTGAACCATAACTGGATAGACTGGGTGGCTATGTATACTGAACCATAACTGGATAGACTGGGTGGCTATGTATACTGAACCATAACTGGATAGACTGGGTGGCTATGTATACTGAACCATAACTGGATAGTAGTTTTCTTTTGCCTAGATGCGTTGACTGAAGAGTTCTGTTTAGAGGTAGAAAGATACAATGATTAATAAGCGTCATCATCCTAAAAGGAAGGGATGCGGCGCGCCTTGCACCCAAATGCTTAGACTGCATCAGTAAAGAGGCAAAACAGATTGGGATCAAACTCAACCCCTCAAAGTCAAAGGCCATGCCCATAAAAATAGCGAAGCCCAACATCCAACTCACAGTACAGGGTCAACCAATAGAATGGGTCGACACCTATCAGTATCTAGGAATCATCCTGGACACACACATGAATTTTAATGCTGAGGTCACTTACTTGAGAGAGCGAACTGCGGCCCGGACGGCAATCCTCAGGTCGCTAACCTCCCTTTCTGGAGGAGCCAATCTGCAAGTCCTTCGCACATACTATGTACAGGCAGTCAGATCAGTGATCGATTATGCCGCACATGCACTCACAAATCTATCACACCAACAGTGGAAAAAGCTTGAAGTTGCCCAAAACAATGCTATGAGAGCTGCACTGGGAGCCCCCATGTGGACCAGGCTTGGAACTCTTAGACTGGAGACGGGTTTGCCCTCTCTACAAGAAAGAATATCACAAAGGACAGCTACAATTATCAGTAAGATAATTATTTCTTCTGATCCAATCCCAGTACGGCAGGCCTTGGTGGTTGGACTAGGCCAAAACAATGGAAACTCTTGGGTTGCAAGAGCAGGAAAAGTCCTAAACAGACTACATTTAAAAAACATGATTCTTGATAGAGAAGGTGATCATCCACACCCAAATTACACTCCTTCCGCGCCGTGAGAAGAGCCTACTTTCAAAATAGTAATAGAAAGTCTCCCAATGAAAAAGGCTGCCTATGATCCGACAATCCTAAGGCGCATAATAGAAGAGCAAATGTATAGCATAGCAGTAGCAGGAGCCACCCACATCTTCACAAATGGATCGGTGGACACAGAAAATGAGAGTGCTGGCGCTGCGCTTTGCACGACCAGCGTTCAGGCATATTGGAGACTGGGAGGACTAGTATCATCAACCCAAACTGAGCTGTTTGCCATACAACAGGCATTCGCATATGTGATTGCACAAAACACTCAAAATGCAATCATACACACAGACTCAAAAGCTGCACTTCAAATACTAGGACAAAAACAGTGGAAAGATAATGTGGAAATAATTACCACCATTTTGTATCTTGGAGCAGTCGCTAAAGGCAAAGGAATTAACATAACTTTAAACATAGCAAATATGGAAGTTGTAGTGAAGGACCTGGTGACTCTAGTGGGAGCCCTGAGGACAGAGTTGGACTCTCTGCGGGAGGAGGTGCGTCAGCTTAAAAAACAACGAGAAGTAACGAAGGAGGAGACCAGCAGTAAAGGGACCTCGTCTTGGAGAGTTGCGAAAGACAGGGGCCTTAAGAAGACTTTGATAAAGCCGCCTTCAAACGCCATAGCAACTTCAAATTCATTTGACGTTTTGGAGGACGAGTGCTGTGGAGAGACTGTGGATCGCGCAAAAGGGAAAGCAACGAAGAGAAAGGAAGCGCAGGCCCCTCAGAAAGTAAAGGAAGTACCTAAGCAAACATTAGTTGTGGGAGATTCCCAGATAAGGTATTTGGATAGAACGTTTTGTGCTAGAGATAGGGGGAACAGGTTAAGGGTTTGCTATCCCGGAGCTGGCATTGGTGATATTATAAACAACATGAATGATATTATGGCTGGTAATGGGAACAATCCCATTATTTGCATTAGCGTGGGAGGAAATGATGTTGGTCGAGTCAGGAGTGAGGAACTGATTCAGAGGTATAAAACAGCCATAGAGCTAGTTAGGAGCAAGGGAGGAATCCCGATCATATGTGGCATTCTTCCAAGAAAGGGAGTGGGAAATGAATGGATATCGAGGGCACTTGGTGTCAATTGCCGGCTGGAAAGATATTGCAAATCAAATGCAATATCTTTCATAGACAACTGGGAACACTTCTATGGAAGAAATGAAATGTATGCTCGTGATGGGGTGCATCTATCGAGAGCTGGGGTTGTTGCTGTTGCGAACTCGCTAGAAGAAGTGGTTAGAGGTGTTTGTTTGGGTTTAAACTGTTAGTAGATAGAGGTATGGGAATTGATTTGGAGGAAGGAGGTAATAAAAGTATGTGTTTGTGGGAGAAAGGAATTGGCAAAACGATCAGGGAAAGAGAAGGTCCGCAAAATAACAATTCACTTAGGGTATATTACACTAACAGTAGAAGTCTAAGAAATAAAATTAACGAATTAAATGCTCTTGTCTGCACAGAAAAAATAGATATTATTGCACTTACCGAAACGTGGATGAATGTAGAAAATAGAGAACTATTAGCTGAATATCAAATATATGGATTTAAACTATTTCACACAGATAGATATATTAGACGAGGAGGTGGAGTAGCCATATATGTTAGGGACAATTTGAAATGTAGTCTCAAAGAGGGAATCAAAACAGAGCCACACACAGAAACTATTTGGATTGAATTAAACGAAAAAGCTAATAATATTATAATAGGAGTAATATATAGGCCACCAAATTTAGACAGAATGGAAGCAAAGCATCTATGGGATGAAATATCTAGAGCATCTAGATCTAACAGTATTTATGTCATGGGTGACTTTAATTTTAGCGGAATAAACTGGTTGAACAAAACAGGGAATAGTGAAGCAGAAGATTTTCTAGAATTAATTGACGATTGCTTTCTTACGCAACACATTAAGGAACCAACACGGGAAAATAATATTTTAGATTTAGTGTTAACTAACAGGGAAACGCAAATTAATGACATCGAAATAGGGAGTGAGCTAGGGAGCAGTGATCACAAAGAAATCAGATTTAGCATAGAATGGAATAGACCAGTAGGAGAAAATTCTGTTAAAGTGCCAGATTTTCGAAAAGCTGATTTTAATAGCCTAAGAAATTTTTTGGGTCAAATTGATTGGAAAAGCTTGGGTATGGGGTGTGGGCCGGTCTTGGAGCGAGACATGAACCCAGCGATAGGTGACTTAAAAGGGGATTTCGATGTGGATTCAATATATAACTTATTTAAGAATATTCTAAACAAAGCACAGGAACGTAGTATACCATACAAATTGAATAGATCGTATACTAATGACCCAAAGTGGATAACAAAGAATTTGAAGAACCTTATAGGTAAAAAGAGAGCTTGGTACAAAAGGATTAAAAATGGGGAGGTCACTTTAGAACAGGAATTCGTACAACTGGTTAGAAATGTTAAAAAAGAGATAAGGAAAGCAAAAAGAAACTATGAAGTTCGCATAGCAGGGCAAGCAAAGACAAATCCTAAAGGGTTTTTTCAGTTATATCGTACTAAGACTAGGGAAAGGATAGGTCCATTAAAAACTGAGACAGGTCAAATAACAGATAGTGATGAAGAGATGAGTAGTATTTTTAATAAATATTTTGTATCTGTATTTACTAAAGAGGAACTTAACAATATGCCTTCAGCCGAACAAG